GAAGACCCAGGACACGCTGGAGGGACTATGTCTCTCAGCTGGCCTGGGAACGCCTTGGGGTCCCCCCGGACGAGCTGGAGGAGGTGTGTGTGGATAGGGAAGTCTGGGCGTCTGCTTAGACTGCTGCCCCCGCGACCCGGCAACGGAAGAAAATGGATGGATGGATGGAATATTAGCCTTGTTAGCATGTTTTATGATATCAAGTAGAGTTAGCTTACTTGCCCAACACAAATTAGCTTGAATCTCACAAATAAGGCTAAAAGGTTAAAAGAGTTGCACACTAAAAACAATTGTAGAGCCATGAAATATGGTACAAATGTTCTTCAGGTCAAGACATGACATTTTTTTTATTACGGCGTCGGACGTCGTCGCTGGATCCAACGGTGGAGGACTTCACCTCTGTGGGTGCACACCACTCGAAGGAGAGGATGCAACCCACGTTGTGCCCGCGGATGGACCCGTTCGTCCATTACGCAAACACGCGAGTGGCCTAAGCCCCTAGCAGCCAAGAGGCCTGCTCCGGGTACGACATGTACTGCAGCGGGCAGGACTGGTCCTGGACCGGTGATCGAGGATTCAGTCCGCATGGCCCTACAGCCCTCCGCATCCGTGTGGCCCCGGCACCAGACCTCTCCTCTCCCTCCGAGCGGGACAGGATGTCTTGGCGATGCTGGATAGATATTATGCCAATGCGCACAGGTCGTCACATTGGCTAACAACATGACTTTCATCACGGGGGCCCTGGTTAGGCGCTCTCCTCTGGCCAGGGCTCAGTGGAGACCTCCCTGTCACAGACAGAGACCACCTCGGCGGCGATCCTGCGCATGTGACCAGACGATAGCCGTGGATGGTGGCCCGGACACCGAGGATTCAGTCCGCAGGCCCTGCCAGCCCTCCGCAATCCGTGTGGCCCGGCACCAGAACTCTCCTTCCCTCCCAGCGGGACAGGATGTCTTGGCGATGCTGGATAGATGTTATGCCAATGCAAAGCACAGGTCCCCGCATTGACTAACATCATGGCGCAATTCATCACGGGGGCCCTGGATAATGTCGCTCTCTTCTGACCAGGCGCTCAATGGAGACCTCCTGTCACAGGCGAGGACCACCTCGGCGGCAACTCTGCGCATGTTCCAGACTGCTAGCTGTGGATGGTGGCCGCTCCATGGCAGCAGCCCAAGTCGGGGCCAGGCACCTTTGGCTTGGGCTGACTAATATCAGGGAGGCGGAGAGGAGGCAGCTGCTGGACCTGCCCATCCTCTCAGATGTCCCTCTTCGGCCCGGACATGCAGGCCTTGGTGGCGAGACTGGAGTCCTGCAGCTAAAGACTCGGCTAGGCTAGCCCCGCACCTAGCACCGAGGCGCGAGGCCCACCACCATTACGGAGCCGGGACAGAGGCAGAGAGCGTTGGCCCGGTGGCATTCTGACCCGTATCCGCGCTCTGTTGTCCATCGTCCCACCTCGACGAGGCCCCCGGGTTCAGACAGACCCATGGGTGGCTCGCGGGAGCAACGCACCCACCACCGACCTCCCTATGGCAGAGGAGGTCGGGTGGAAAGTTTTCCTTCAATAAAGGCCGACCGGCATTTCATCATTACTTGTTCTGAGTCTCATTTGGCGGTATGTAACATGTCAAATAATGTGAATTCTGATTGTGTTACTTCCCGGGCACGTAACGTTGCTTCGCTAGCCTGCAGCCCCAGAGCAGGGTGTGCAGTGCGCTACGCGAGCTACGAGCTCCGGTTTCTCTGATCCATGCTATGCCCTCCCAGAGAGAGGTCAGGCGGAGGGATCTGGTGAGTAATGATGTGTGTGCTTCGGCCGGACGCGTGTTAGCATCTCTGAGCTACAAGGCTAACACGGGTTTCCCACTCCAGGGCTCGCGCCCCCCCCTCCATGAGGCAAGACCCAGGGTGGGGCACAGCAGCCGAGTCACGTGGGATGAGCATCCCGTACTTATGACGTTGGGCCTGTAGGACACGTGACCGCACCACGGCGCTCACGGTGTGACGTGAGCAGGGGGCCCCCCCGGCCCTTTCGTCCACCCCCCCCTCTGGGGGTGGACGAAAGAGAGATCAAAGAGAGACCTGGTGTTCCCTGCTAGGAACACCAGGAGAGGGCGGGGCCGTGACGTCTCGTGTTCCAGCTCCCGTTCCGCTCCTCACAGACTTCTACAGCATCTGGAGGGAGCAAAGATAGCTGACATATCTATGGCTGAGAGAACATGCGCAGGTTACGCACTGCAATTCTCCCAGAAAGCCACCACCTTCCGAGGCGTACGGGCAGCACGCTCTCAGTACGGGGTCATTAGAGGCACTGCAAGCGGAGGTCTCCTCTCTGCTGAGTCTAGGCGCAGCAGTAGAGGTAGACCCTAGGAGGCCACCAGGGGGCTGTACTCCCCTTACTTCTTAGTGCCAAAGAAGTCAGGCGGGTGCGTCCCATTTTGGATCTGCGCGTGTTGAACGAGTGCATTTCCAAACGGCAGTTTCGGATGCTGCCCACAAAGCAGCTCCTCGAGTGTGTCAGGCAGGAGATTGGATATCCTCCATAGACCTGACAGATCCGTACTTCCACGTGCCGATAGTGCCGAACACAGGAGGTTCTGCGCTTCGCAGTGGGAGAGAGGAATTACGAGTACTGTCGTTTTCCCCTTGGGCTACGACTACATCGCGCCGTGGAGGCAGCACTGGAGCCGCTCAGACGCGCAGGGGTAAGAATTTAATCTACATAACGTCGGGGTTAATTCTGGCCTCATCCAGGAGTGGCCGTGAGTCCTCATACGCACTGGGTCCTGTCCCTCATACAGCGCCTGGCCTTTGTGGTTAACAGGGAGAAAATTAACAGTTACCTAATGTAACTTAAGTTCTACGAATAGGTGCACGTGATATCCCACTAGCGAAGTCCGCTAAGGGACGTAGCAACCATGACGTAGAAGCAGGCTGCAACCGGCTCAGCGCATGATCTATCTCGGTCCTGCAGCTAGACTCTGTGACATTCCGTGCTGCATTGTCCGTGGACAGACGGATGAACTACTACCCGTCTGCCAGGGAGGTTCTGGCGGGCCCCAGAGTCCCCGCTCGGCGCCTCAGGTCCCTGCTGGGAATGATGGCGGCGGCTCATGCTGTGGTGCGGCTAGGCCTTCTCCACATGAGGAATTTTCAGAGGTGGTTCTCACGCCTCAGGCTTCACCCCTCCCGGGACGGGGGGAGGTCTGATCTGGGTTCCCCAAGTGGCAGCATCGAACATCAGGTTCTGGCTCACTCCGGGTCTTCTACGGGACGGAGTGACTCTGGCCGGCGCCGTGTCTCACGTGGAGATGTTCACGGACGCGTCGCTCGAAGGATGGGGCGGGGTCCTCGGCCAGAGTTCTGTAGGAGGCTGCTGGTCGGACTAAGCCCGTCACATCAACCTGCTGGAGATGGAGGCAGTGCACAGGGTACTGCTGCACTTTGCACCTCAGCTGCAGGGGAGACACGTGATGGTGCGCTCAGACAACACCACAGTGGTCTCCTATCTGAACAGGCAGGGGAGCACCAGTCCCCCGCTCTCCATCGCATGGCGACGTGGACGCTGCTGTGGGCGGCGCGTCACCTCCTGTCTCTCAGGCGCGCCACGTCCCGGGGTCCGAACGTGGGGGCCGACAGGATGTCCAGGGGGGGGCCCACTCCAGGACGAGTGGGGCCTGGCCCCAGGGTGGCTGCGGAGATCTGGCGGAGGTTTGGCCGTCCAGTGGTCGACCTTTTTCGCCAGTGCAGAAAACGCACAGTGCCCGTCCTGGTTCGCCTCAAGGGCCGCGGACCAGCCGCCCTTAGACGTGGACGCTCTGGCTCATTACCCCTGGCCAGGGGGCCTGCTGTTCGCGTTCCCCACCAGTGCGTCTCCTGCCGGTCCTGCTGCGGAGGATCGAACAGGAGAGGAGGTCGGTGATCCTGGGGTGCGCCGGACAGTCCGCATGCCCGGTGGTTCCCCTTCCTGAGGGGCATGGCGGTGATGGAGCCCTGGGCCCTCCCGGACGAGCCGGGGGCTCTAGTCCAGGGGGAGGAGCCCTGTTTTCACGCCCGATAATCGGCCGCAGGCTCTGGGTTGGAGCTGAGAGGCGAACCTCGTAGACCTGGGTCTTCCCCTGCGGTGGTGGAGACCACTCAGGGCGAGGGCGCCGTCCACCGTGAGGCCTACGCCACAGGTGGAGGCTCTTAGCGACTGGTGCGGTTTTCGTTCCTGGATCCCAGGCCTTGCCCGCTGGAGGGGGCCTGGATTCCTACAGAGCTCTTGACAAGGGGAGGCTGTCGCCACCTTGGCGGTGTTCGCGACAGCCATTACTTCGGGTCACGACGGATTCGGGGGTTCACAGCCCGCTCTCATTCGTTGGTTAACGTTTTCTGCGGGGGGCACGCAGGAGGAGCCCCCGCTCCAGAGAACGCCCCGGTTTGGGACCTCAGGTGGTCCTTAGGGGGCTTCGGGTCCGCCTTTTGAACCGGCGGCGGAGGCGAGTCCCGAGTGGGTCGCTTTAAGACGGCCCTCTTGTTGGCGTTGGCGTGGCGTCTGCTAAGAGGGCGGCGCTACTTGTGGGCGCTCTCTGTCCATGCGTCTTGCCTGTCCTTGGAGAGGCGACGCATGGTGGTATTGTGGCCCAATCCGGCTTTTATCCCCAAGGTCATCACGTCGGCCTTTAGGTCGAGAGTCATCAGGATTAGGGCTTTCTATCCGCCACCGCATGCCTCCCCCGAGGAGGAGCGGCGGCACCTTCTGTGTCCTGTCAGAATGCTGAGCATTACCTGCCATGACGTCGTCATTCAGGTTGGGTGGTCAGCTGTTTGTGTGTCTGGGCCCCAAAAACAGGGGCGCCCCGCTGTCGCTCAGCGGCTGGCGCACTGGGTTGCCACGGCTGTGCGGCGGGCGTATCAGACGCAGGGTCTGGCCCTCCCGGTGGGCTTCAGGTCGCATTCCACGCGTGGGATGGCGGCCTCACGGCCCTTCTCAGGGGGGTGTCGGTCGAGGACGTATGCCGTGCGGCTTCTTGGGCTTCGTCCTCCTCTTTCGTCCGGTCTTATCTTTTGGATGTGTCGGACCGGTCGGTGGCCCATTCCGTGCTGAGTGCAGCGGACTGAGTAAGACCGTTAGGTCCCTCCTCTGAGGGGGCCTTCGGTTTGCTTTCCGCCCTGGTTCAGGAGCTCTTGGAGAGAAATCCTACAGGTGCGGTACATATATGTGTTTTTGGTCGTCTGGTAGTCCACTCAGGAGCCCTTGGAGAGGCGTCCTTGACTACGGATGACTACATCTGTGTTACGTGGGGGTATCCTTGGTAGGAGTGGCCCTGTAACACGCATTGTTTTCTTCTGCCCTGAGTCCCCTCACGGTGTGAGGTCGGGCGGAGCTCCAAATCACCTTCGCTGGCTGCTGGGGAGTTACATGTTCCTTACGGCATCCGCGTTGTGTTCCCACTAGCCGAAAGTCCTAAGGGACGTAGCACCATGACGTAGAATTAATAGTTACTAATGTAATTAGTTCTACGAATAGGTGCGTATAGTCCTTAGCTAGTAGCCATCAGGGCCAGCCCGGCTGGCAGATTCAAGAGGGGGTGCGGCCTTCCTTGTGCAGGGGCATTTATGGAGGAGGGTGGTGGTGTGATTGGAGCAAATTATTTTGATCTCTCTGGCCGTGTGACCTCGGGGGTCACGTGATATCACCTAGCGAGTCCTAAGGACTACGCCCCCTATTCGTAGTCACTTAAGTTACATTTAGTAACTATTAATTACCCACATTTTCAGGTGCTGTTCTGTTACATTGTAAAGAGGGGACTGAAGACGAAGTGAGGAAGTCTGTTGGGGATCACCTTCAAAAACATGCCCCAAGACTGTGGATAGGTGGCCTCTAAAAGAGGAAACTGCCAACGTTTTGAATTTCCTCCATTCACATGCCTTACATGTATAACTTCACTTGCCATATCCTTTCTGATTGTTTTTTTACAACTCGGGGAACTAGAGTGACTTTTTTCTGAATATGGTGTTTGAGCATGTTTTGATTACTGATCCTGACATGGTTCATGTGTTCTCTTTAGCATCAACCTTTTAAGTTGTTTTTGTACTAATGACACCTTCATCACTGTGGACTAAAGGGATCAAATTATCTCAAGTAGAACTTGTATGTACATTTGTAATTTTGAAAGAATGTTAATTCATAATCTATAAAATAAACGCATGTAGTTAGGTGTTGTCTTGCTTGGCTAACATTGTGGGAAAGCCTGAAACTGCAGGCCATGCAGTGATTGGCATAACTGGGTCAAAGGGACTGGAAAAAAGGATCGTCGTTTATGAGCTGAATATTTTGGTCATATGAGACGTATTGACTTAGGAACGACCTGGGGTTCTATACCAGATTCAGACCTTGAATGGTACGCGCCATCTACGTTGAAATGAGTTGTTTTCACATCTGATGCTAAGGTGGAAAGGACTGGAGAGGACGCGTCATAAGACGTCTTTTTTGGTTCATATGAGACGGTTATTAGTAACGTCGGATCCGACGGTTCTGCACCAGATTTGGGCCATCAATGGAGTGCCATCGAGTCAAATTTGGAGGTTGAGGTGACGGCGGGAAGACGAGTCGAGAAAAGGTAAACTATTCAGTCTGCACCACCAGTGACCTATATTCTACGTCAGGCAACGACGTTGAAAGTGACGATGAATCAACGTTTGGCTTGCTCTTAGTGGGTTAAAAGCTTGGGAAATCTTTTGTATCCAAAATCGGCTTTTTTAACTTCTCCACAAACAGTATCTCAGGACCTGCCCTGGTGTGTTCCTTTGTCTTCATGGTTCTCTCTGTGCCTTTAACAGAACCCCTGAGACTATCAAAGAGCAGGGGCATTTTTACGGAGACTGATCACACTACGTGCATTCTATTTATTCATCATCGGCCATTTAGGCAACATTGGGATCATTCAATGATCCTCATGAACTTCTGGAGTGATGTTTGCTGCACTGAAAGTAAAGGGGCCGAATAATATTGCAACGTCCCCAATTTTTAGTTTTTTTATTTGTTAATAAAAAGTTTAAATTATCCAATAATTTCGTTCACCCTTCACGATTGAAGTCCCCACTTGTTGTTGATTCATGACATAATAATTTAAATTTTATATCTTTATGTTTGAAAGCCTGAAATGTGGCGAAATGTTTGAAAAGGTTCTATTCAAGGGGCCGACCGAATACTTTCGCAATGGTACTGTATAGGACAGTAGTAAGAAGCACACAGGGAGCACACACAAACTTACAACTATATACAAATAAGTAGTAGCTATGTTTCTTAGCTAACATAACTAGCTGTAGATTTTCCCATGCCCAAATGTGACATGTAAATTTCTCCTCTGTGAGACTAAAATAAGCAATAAAGCAATCTTATCTTATCTTATGTAAATTGCTTCAATACCAGTCATAAAAAATAATATTGTTAGTAGTCAGTGAAGTTTTATATACTGTACAGTTAAATTAAGGTGCTCGGATTAAATAAGTAGATAAGTTTAAAGTGACATAAGGTAAAGTTGGCATTGTTCTGTGACAATTCTGAAGTGCACCTTGCACATGATTTTAAGAATTTACTAATTACAGATGAATTAAATTCTACAGGCCTCAGCAGTTCTTATTGTACAGTCTGACAGCAGTTAGCAGGAAGGAAAGAAGCTACGGAACCTCTCCTTCACACAGCGATTGGTGCAATTAGTTTGTCACTGAAGCTGCCCTCCAGAGCAGAGAGAGTGTCACTGGCAGGGGTGAATGTCATCGTAATGTCATCGTTCCCCTGTTGCAGCTCGGCCCACATGTCGCCCTGACGAGTTCCAGTGCAACGACGGTGCGTGTGTTCATGGGAGCCGTCAGTGCAACAAAGTGTTTGACTGCAGAGACCAGAGCGACGAGGCTGGCTGTGAAACAGGTGATTAAACTGATAGTTGTTTTATTTTCTAGACTATACATTGAGAAAGGACTTTTGAATAATGGCATCGTTGTGCAAATAACTAAGGCCTTCTCCTGTCCATAGAAAATGAATGCGAGGGGCCCACAAAGTTTAAATGTAAAACTGGGGGGTGCATCGGTGCAGAGAAGGTGTGTGACGCAAGGAACGACTGCAAAGATGGCTCCGATGAACCAGCGGAGTGTAGTATGTATTTGTTTTGTAGACACTTAAAAAAGCGTTAAAACAAATATCATCCTTTCATCCTTTTGTAAACCAACAATGCGAACGTTTATTTTTACAGATCAGAATGAATGCTCCACGGAAAATGGCGGCTGTTCGCACATTTGTAACGATCTGAGAGTTGGCTTTAATTGCTCATGTCCCAGGAGGATACAGTCTGGACACAGATGAAAAGACATGCAAAGGTAAAGCCTAGTACATGAAATTATTTATTTAAGCAAAAATCTCATCACCTGTGATCTTTGCAGATATCGATGAGTGCGTCACACACCAGACACATGTAGCCAAATTTGCATCAATTTTGAGGGTGGCTACAGGTGTGACTGTATGCAAGGCTACGAAATCGACCCTGCAACGAGCACATGCAAAGCCGTATCAGGTGGGGATTGAGTTGTATGTGGAGGCAGATGCTCTTGTATAACAACCTTAGATTAAACCAATACTTTTCTGCTGATCTCCAGGATCTGGCCCCACACTCTACTTCACCAGTCGACACGAGCTGAGACTGATGACAGTGGACCGCAAAGAATACATCCGCCTGATCCCACAGCTCAAGAATGCAGTCGCTCTGGATGTGCACATACCCTCAAATACCATCTTTTGGTCAGACCTCTCCCTCAAGACAATTTTCAGGTAAAACAACCTCAGCTATGTCTATCCATCACTTTTCTTAATCAACCAAGCGACCCAACCGATTAAATGTTTTATTATGTGCAAATTATACAAAACACACAATAGTATCCCAAAGTTGGTTTTCATATGTGGAGCTGTTAACAAGTGATTTCCATAGAGCACAAGTTTAGGGACAGCAAAGTAACAATATGTTTACCTAGTCTAATGTACATAACTCTACTTTCCCCTCCCCTCAGCACCCGCATAGATACTGCCAGTGACGCTTCAACTCACACTGAAGTGATTGGCAGTGATATTGAAGCCCCAGAAGGAATTGCAGTAGACTGGATTCACGGCAACATTTACTGGACAGACAGTGAATTGAAAACCATCTCTGTGGCAACCACTGATGGAAGCAAGAGGAAAACCCTGATCTCCGACCATTTGGAGAAGCCCAGAGCCATTACAGTGGACCCAGTCAATAAGTAAGAACATCAGCTTTTGAATTACGCTTACGCATTACGAATTGTGATTGGAATTACATATACGTGTGTTCTCTCTCTAGCTTCATGTATTGGACTGACTGGGGGGAAGAGGCTAAGATTGAGAAGAGTGGGTTGAATGGAGGAGACCGCTTGGCCATAGTGACGGACAACATTATGTGGCCCAACGGCATCACTCTTGGTAAATACAAGCGTGTTATTGATAGATAGATAATATTTATTTCAAACCTGTACAATCCTCACTGCAAAAAAATCAACATAACAGACAGATATAAAAGTGCATGGTTTGAAAAGGGGGTGGATGGAGCAAACGCTTATAGGATTCCAAACCCCCTCACACATTCAACACAAAGTACAGTACAAGAACCGTATACATTCAGGCTCATTCATGAACAGCTGTAAACTTGTACAGTACATAGAGTGAAACAATATGACATGACCAGAGACAAAACACACACACCACAGACAGAGGCCCAAACACTCTCTGACCCTACACAGACATTGCTGTGTTTTTGAGCACACTACCAATTTTAGCCCGCTCACTCGTGTCTCTGCATTTCCAATCAGACATGGTTAACCAGCGTTTGTACTGGGTCGACTCCAAGCTGCACACTCTCTCCAGTGTCGATGTCAGCGGAGGGTCACGGCACATGCTCATTTTTGACGAGAAGCACCTTTTACATCCCATGTCTCTGGCAGTTTTTGAGGTTCGTACCTGTTATTCCAAAATTCCATTGCTACTTCTATAGTGTGTAATCATTCAGTCGACTGTGGAAGGACAGTGCAGTATTGAACCACCTGTACTTTAATCTTTTTTTCATGTTCAGGAGAAGGTATTCTGGACGGACATTGGAAATAGTGCGGTGTACAGTGCTAATCGCTTGACCGGAGGAGACATCACAGAGCTGGCAAGGGACCTGAATCATCCTGAAGACATTGTCGTTTTTCACACACTCAAGCAAACTAATGGTATGTTCATCTTTGTGTTAATAGTGTTGACTGAACAATGTTAGCTAAATTAAAGTTGTTTTATAAATAATTTTTTTAAGACTTACCCTAACCCTAAATCTATATACATATTGCAATTTCAACAGACCTAGTTGCTTTTCTTGTTGTTGTTGGAAAAAATGGTGACATTTATTGAACAGGAAGTTTCATTACAGCTTCCTAGCAACATTGGGATTTTATAGCTCCTGAGTTGACTGTGTCGCTTGTGTAATCTGCCTTTGTGGGTTAATTTACAGCCCGGCCCCATGTACTCTGTAACTTTTTAACTAAAATTGTGATTGGGTTTGTGATACCTTTGTTTGAACGTCTCTTTGCATTGTTGTTCAGTAGCGTCATACATTCTCTCCGTGCCATTTTTTTAAAGGTTCAAACTGGTGCCAAACGAGTGAGCTACTGAATGGAGGCTGCGAGTTCCTGTGCCTCCCTGCTCCTCGGATCAACAGCCGCTCCCCCCAGTACACCTGCGCCTGTCCGGATCACTCCGCCATGGCCGCTGATAACAGGAAGTGTGTCGCAGGTATATTTTACAACCCGGTTTTTGAAATGAATAAAACGATACGATAAGAAATCCCTTTATCTAACTCAACATGTTTTTCATTTTTAGTTCAACCTCCTGTGACCAGTCCTGCACCAATCCCTAATGTTCCCACCACTCAAGCACCAACGCAGCCTTATACTACTACTACTACTACAACTACTACTACCACTGCTGCAACTCCCAATGCTTCAACAATACTTGAACCAGCTCAAGGTAGAAGATGTTCTGTCATATAGTTATTGGCCTAAACCTAATTTACTCTTTGAATCAACTTTTGATCTCTCTAAATGTTGGCTCTTCAAGTGCCAGAGTCTTGTCCAAAATCTTTAGTGAAATTAGCATGAATGGACAATGCTGATCCGTTAGCTCTATGAAGGAAGTTTGGCTCCCATACACTTTGATTATCATTGAAACGTAAATCTTTCCCACTTTGTAACAATTCATGTCACACTCAGAATTCACTCTAAATTTTTGAATGATTTTGGGTTTGGCTAAAGCCAGTAGCTGGTTGAATGAGCGAGGCCTCACTCCTGATTGGCCGTTTGGTTGTTTGGTAGTTGCTATTCGAGAACATGGAGCTCAAGAGTCGGCTCAAGTTCAAGGAAAACGCTTGTACGTCAGCACTCAGTCCGTCCACTCCTTTATACGTGCTATGGGTGGGGCCCTGAAACAGAACATTAGTCGGAGCTCCACCCTGACTACTAAAAAGGGGAATTGTAGATAAAAATGAAATGAGTTGGCTCCTATTAGAAATTCTGATACTTTGCTATAAACGGGTTTATCGGTACCTGAGTGGATTTATATTATCAACATGGAATTAACACTTTTTATATAACTTTTTTTTTGGAAATATGCTTCAGTCATTTGATTTGAACTTGTATTTATCTTATGTTTGAAAAAGTCTCTAACAATGGATTTTTGACTAATATTTTAACAAGTGGTAAAATGGTGGTTATAGCCAAAGATAAGTGAAATATTGAACTACTTTTGGTTGATTTTGTGGTTGTTTGTTTATTTAGTGAATCACAAATTGTCTGGATTGCCCACTGAAGACGAGCCTTCCCATCCAGTCGGCGCATATATAGCTGTGCCCCTATGTAAGTAATTATGAAAACGCAGCAGCATTATCTGATGAAATCGCCTCACTAACGGGTTTCCATTTCCCCTCAGTGGTAATGTCGCTGCTGATCTTTGGGGCAGTGCTGCTATGGAGAAACTGGCGTCTGAAAAACACAAACACTATCCATTTTGTCAACCCAGTGTACCAGAAAACCACAGAAGACGAGATGCACATTTGTCAAAACTCCACCCAGGGCTTCATCTATCCAGAGGTAATGTCACTTGTTTATTCATCAACCATTACTACACTGGCCTGTTCAGCTACAACTGGATTTTACTCTTATTATTATTAACAAAAATATTGTCAGGCAATTGATAAAATATATAAGCTTTCACATTTCCAGGGGTTTGATCATTTTAAATCCTCTGAAAAGGATCTAATATTACTGAATTGTGTATTTACAGTAATATTATTGACAAGGTCCAGATAAGAAAGACATCACAAAAAACAATAATCATTAAAAAAAAATAAGCATAGATATTTACAGCAGACTACTGTACCAGTGACACTGATGTAAATAATAAAACATTGGAAGAGTATAATGTGAGAGGATGACATACTTTCCCCTGCATATTTGATTATCTATTAAATACCTTTTCATAAGAATGTCGATTTTATAACCAATGCAAAGTCATTCTTGTATCATGTTCAGCTGGTGGTGTGCCACATGGTTTTTGTCACTGAAAAAGGAACACTGCTCAATCTCAGCTGTGAAAGGGGAATTGTTGACACCCAAAATGTAGTGGTCCTTCTACCTTCAATAGACCCTATCCCCAGACTCAGAACTACAGTATATCCCCCTTTCTATATCTCTGTGAAATGTTGGACTTTGAGTTTGATCTTTGTCTGTGAAGAGGTTGTTCCCACTTATGATTAGAGTAAATGAGTCATCAAGAGTTTAAAACTACAGCACTTGTTTGTTACAGGCTATATACAGACAAGAACAGTGATTGCATTATGGTAGAACAAACAAAGGACAATGTAGAAAATGGTAAAGGAAACATTTTATTGCACAAACCAGAGTATTGCACATGCCCTGACTGTCCTGATATCACACCGTCCCCTATTGCACAGCCCATATTGCACGTATTACAAATAATGTAAAATGCAAAGTGTATAATTGGTTGTTCTCCGCATTCACTAACCACTACTTTCTGCGCAGAGGACAATGCTAAGTATGGACGACTTGGACATTGCGTGATGGAGATGCTGTCTGACGTGAACGCGGTGGATACAGATGAAGAAGCAAAGTCACTTTCTTCTTGCGCTGCTTGAAAAAGGGTGAAACTCGCACGCTCGCTGACCTCACGACACTGTCCCGTCCAACATGTCTGAACCAAAGAAAACTGAAGAAGAAGAAAAGACTTTTGGGATTGTTTTAAAGAGACGTGCGATTGTTTCTCTCTCTATGAAGGCAAAGTGTTGTTGTAACCTGTTTGGAAGTTAATATATTTAAGTTTTGTCACTCTTGTTCACTGAAAAGCCTTGATGTCTGTTGTGTGCCTTCTACTGCACTCCACAATGTTTGCCTTATTGAGCCAACCTGTTACTACCTTCACAAAATCGTGGTATAGAATGACGTTTACTTTGGATTGGCTGCTGCTTGCACCAAAATGAAGAGCTATATAATAATATTTAAAGAACGTATACTGAATATTTTGAAGCTATTTGCAAAGATCTGCCTGGCATTGTAGATAATGTATGTGTATATATGTAATGTACATTTGTGGGCTTTTATATTTGTAATCACGTTTATGTAAATAAGTTTTATTTATTGAGATTCGTTTTGTTTACTGTTGTACATGAAGATATACCACACTGTGCCTGCAAGTTTTGTTCACTTTCTGGTTGCTTTTACAGAACTGTATTGCTTAATTACTGAGAATTCATTTCAGAAATATGTCTTTTATGCAGTTTATTTTTTGTTTTTTCAGATTGACGCTGCACACATTACCTTAGCACTATTCGCTCTGCTGTTTTAAATTGCATATTTTGTGGAAATAAAGAGATTTATTGCATTTGAGTATTTTATTTTATCAGTTTGACCTGTAGATCAATCATGTATAGTATTGTAGCGATGATGCTAGCAAGAGATGGGGTGAACTTTTAACTGGTTTATTTCACATCATAGACTTGAACGTGTTTCGTATGTGTAGGAAGTGCTAGCCTTTTTATATGAGAGGAAGACATCGGGAAGTGCACCTACGAATGTCGTCACTGATGAAATATGAGTGAACGTGTGTGTGTGTACACCAATATAACATTTTTATTTAACCAGGAAAGTCCCATTGAGTCTTTTTCATGGGAGTCCTGAACAAGATACAGCAAAAGTCACACATAAAACTACGAATTATAAAAACTGTTACATATCAATGAGGATGTCTCAAGTGCTCTCAATCTGGATTTAAAAGCATTCAATGAAAAAAGTTCAGATAATTTACAGTCTTTGTAAAAGGAGTAGCATATTCAATATTCTTTATTCCCAGTTCTGTGGGGCAAAAGGAACAGACCAACAAAAGATCATTTGAACGCTAACCATAAGAACCAACATCTCTGTGTGAATAAATCACAGTCATAAGAGGGCAGTAGACCAAGCATCGCCTGATAAACGCCTCTTCGATCTCATCCCACAATCATTTACTAATACACCTTCGTCATTTGTTTTTCCAACAGGGCATCTAGTTTTACTCATGCAAAGCAAACATTGCATACGACCAATTGTTATCACTTCTCAGGATCCCATTTGTCAAAGTTGTGGCATGTTGTGGAGCAGGTGCAGACGCATTCCACCATTTGTCCCGCGCGTGGACCGGGAAGTGTGCACATCTTTTGTCCCTTTCAACATATGTGGATGTTTATTCTTCTCTGTGTAGTACGCTGTTATTATGAGCTACCCCCCATGAGGCAAGGGATGATGCTCTGAAGACTTGAGTGAGACACCAGACACCTGCTGCATCTCACCTCACATTTGCATCTGCACATGCGCCGCGCCCCATTGGCCAGGTGGCAGGCGAAAGGTGGAGCTTCGCATCACACCACTGCGACGTAGGTAAACAGGAGTGGCCTTTCCAAAGTGCCGATGGAGGTGATGGTTACAGGACAAATCCCCTTGGCAGGTTACCAAGCTACGATGAGGCGAAAACAATCGTCTGTTTGCAAATAACATGAGGACAGTCTGGAGACAGGTGTGGTGTCGCAGGCCCAGGGATGTAACAGAGCCTCCATATTGTGTCAAAGTATTTCTTTACATTTTATGGGGAAAAAAAACTTGTACCATACTCTAATAACTCCATCTGCTGGAAACCATACCAGAAACTCACACCTCAGCCCATCACCACATTTCACACCAATATCTGTTTCTCTGCCTGAAACAAAGGAAACCAGACGGGCATACTTGTAATTTATTATACGTATTAGAATGTCACAAATAGAAAAAAATACGGTCAAAGTTATGTTCACAAACATGGTTAAATATTTCAAATACATTTGTTTTTTATATGTTGGGTTTAAAAATTGAGTTTAGCTTGTGTATAATATATGTGGGTGTGTGCATGCTAAATTAGGTTAGAGTTTTTTTTTTGATAGTCTAATTAATACTGGTGAAACTCATAAAATGGGTTAGGGTTAAGCAATTTCTGTAATTCAACTGAAATGTAAAATCAATATCTAAACTCATCACATAAGAAGGAACAAACGCCCAGCCTTTGTTTATTATAATGTTGATGATCATGGCTTACATTCCATCTTTCTCAGGTGTTTTATTTACTCAGCATTGTAACTAAAAACTTGATATATCTCCCTTTGCGTGTAATGAGTCATCTTTTATTTTCACATTATTAGTTTAATGACAGAAGTAATTGGACTATTGAACAATATTCTTTAATGTGAATTAATTTCCCCTGTAAGCATAAATGGTATGATAGAAACCCTCACTTTTTACATTGTACTGTGTTAATCCTTTACTTGTGATTGTGAGTTAAATGAAACGAGAGTGCAGGGTGGCAGAACGAAGATGGAGGAAAAATAAAACAACAATCAACTACAAAATATATAAAAACAATCAAAAAGCATACAATTACACAATTAGAAATCATAAGAACAAATACTTTGCAAATCTAATCAGCCAGAACAAAAATAATCCTAAATTCCTCTTTTCAACCATCGACACCCTTTTAAACCCTGATTTTAGCATGTCTCTTTTAACCCCCACAGACTCCCTCTGTGAGGATTTTGCAGTCCACTTCACGGGGAAGATAAATACAATCAGATGTAACATTTTATCCAACCGCACTACTGTTTTTAACACATCTTATTGTTTGTCTTCACCAGAGGAAACACTGGACAGTTTTGTCCTGGTTGATGCTGAGATGCTTGATAAAGTTTTCTCCTCAGTGAGGCCCACCACATGTCTTTTAGATCCAGTCCCCACTCCATTTTTTAAGTCATTTTATGAATCTTTTAGAGAGGAGCTTTTAAACCTGGTGAATTGCTCTCTGCAGACTGGGGTCTTTCCTGCAGCCTTCAAAGCGGCTGTGGTGAGACCCCTTCTGAAGAAGAGCAATTTAGATTTTAATGATTTTAACAACTACAGACCGGTATCCAACTTACCATTTCTAAGCAAAATTTTAGAAAAACTTGTTTTTACCCAGCTCAATGCCTTTTTAGATCAGCAGCAAATTTTAGAGAAATTTCAAACAGGTTTTAGGGTGAACCACAGCACAGAGACTGCTCTGTTAAAGATTTTAAACAATTTTAGACTAAGTTATGATTTTAAAAAGGTGACCGTGTTGGTTCTACTGGATCTTAGCGCTGCCTTCGACACAGTAGACCACACCATTCTTTTATCACGCCTACAACACCTCGGCCTCTCTGGTGCTGTCCACAAATGGTTCACTTCTTATTTAACAGACAGATCCTTCATGGTAAGTTTGGATACCTGCTCCTCTCAGGTCCATAAAATCACATGTGGTGTGCCCCAGGGTTCCATTTTAGGTCCAGTCCTTTTTAACCTGTACATGCTCCCTCTTGGCGGTGTCATCAGGAGACATGGAATTAACTTCCACAGTTATGCAGATGATACACAGCTGTACATCTCCATGTCTCCTGATGACACCAGGCCAATGGATGCTCTTTTTAACTGCATTTTAGTTTCTTCAGCTCAACCAGGACAAAACTGAGGTTTTAGTCATCGGCCCTGAGGCCCAGAGAGAGAAACTTTTATCAAAACTCCAATCACACTCTTTTAATCCATCATCACAAGTGAAAAATCTGGGCGTAATCTTTGACTCTGAGCTGACTTTTATTCCTCACATCAAGAGTATCACAAAAATAGGTTTTTATCATCTAAAGAACATCGCCAGAGTCCGCCCCATTCTCTCTCGGGGCAACACGGAGACGCTGATGCATGCTTTTATCACCAGTCGCATTGACTACTGTAATGCCCTGCTCTCTGGTCTTCCCAAAAAGAATATTGCAAGTCTTCAATTACTCCAAAACTCGGCCGCACGTGTCCTGACTAAGACCAGGGGGCGGGACCACATTACACCGGTTTTAAAATCGCTGCATTGGCTCCCTGTGTGTTTCAGGATACATTTTAAGGTTCCTTTAATGGTTTTTAAATGTCTTAATGGTCTTGGGCCTTCTTATCTTTCAGAACTGCTTTTATCCTATGAACCTTCCCGGCCCCTGCGCTCCTCCGGCAGCAGACTCCTAACCATCCCCAAAGTCAGGACACACACTCACGGTGAGGCATCTTTCCAGCACTACGGCCCCCGTCTCTGGAACAGTCTGCCGGAGGAGCTCAGGGCCGCAGAGAACATTCATATTTTTAAAAGTAGGCTCAAGACACACCTTTTTAGATTAGCTTTTGATTAGTTTTTATTATTCCATTCTATTTATCTTTTATTATTTATTATATTGCTATTGCTATTATTCATGTATTGTGTGTTCCTTTTAGTCTCACATTTTAGTGTTTTACTTATTGTATTGTTTTTAGTGTACCCAGTGTTTCCTCTGGAGGAGCCCTCTGCACCGGGAGCAGTGGTCGGTGTGGCTGCGGGGGTCGGACTCTTGGGCCTGGTGGGGGCCTGGGGCCTCGGTTTCGTGTCTCCTCTGGGTCCTGTGTCGTCCCCTGTGGCTACGGGCGGCTCTCTGCTCCTGGTGCAGACGGCTCCTTGGATGACGCTTTTTCAGCTGGTTGCATCTGAACCCTGCCAAGTCTCTAATCATGGTTTTATTGTTTTACTGGTGTGTGTGTGTGTGTGTGTGTGTGTGTGTGTGTGTGTGTGTGTGTATGAGTGTTCATGAGCGCGTGTGTGTGTTTGTCTGTGGTTTGGGGTAGGGTCTGTTGGGTGGTCTGGGGGAGGGGTCTTGGGTCGGCGGGATTGTTTTTAACCAAACTGTAAAGCACTTTGTGTTGCATCTTTTGTATGAAAAGCGCTTTATAAATAAAATTTGATTGATTGATTGATTGATTTATTATCCATACACTTGGCTAACAAGGGTTTCTACAGGTGCAGGGTATTTGATCATGTGCATGAGCTTAATGGATTAAAGACACCAAAGCATGTGGTCAGTGACTTGAAGGAAAATGTGTAGGACAAAGGACATAGCCATCTAAAAAGATCCAGTGTATTGTTTTGGTTTTTTTTATAGGAAAAATAATGTCAAGCGGATGCACATTCTACCAAGATTAGATAAGAAAAGACAAAGGTTCAAAAGCAAGGGCATTAATAGTCACAAACTAATGATGGAATGACAGCTTTAGCCGGCAGAGCTTGGTGTTCTGTACAGAAAGTTGGACATGACAAATGAAGATAAAGGGAGTGCTCACATTATGGTGAGTAAATAAGTAAGCACACAACCAGATAATCTGTTTGAGAAATACTATTTTTGGGTAACTACATAAGAATACACTACTCAACCTGGAAACAAAAAGGCTTTATCCATGTTTCAATAGAGGACTTTCAGTAAAAGTATTTTGAGTGCACTGTTCCACTGTGTTTTTAACCTGCAAGTCAGTCTTATCTCTCTATGTTCTATGGCCTAGTCTTTGAAGAGCACAGGATCTTTTTTACTTCTCTCTACTCTATGAAGACATTACATTTTTATATAAAAATATATAATATTATCTCCTGATGCACTCACTTTCACCTCTGTAAAAGTACACTACTCTTGGTGGTTGTTGGAATGCATCCTTGTTGTGTGTATGTTGTTTTATGTGGGTTTTTATTTTTATTTTGTGAAAAAAAAAAAAAAAAATTTCAAATATGCATGAAAGTATTCTAAGTTAGCCTGGTTGTACCACAGCATGCAGGGAAATGATGATTGACTGGAGTGTACGGATGGCTAAGGCCAGGCTAATTCTAAGTATTCAGAATATAGTACTTTGATTGAACCATAATATAATGCTGCTCATGGCTGACGTTATGGCACAGTATTGCACAACCAGACTAAACTATACCATCTACTAATGTGAATGTGAACACCCAAGTACCTGGGTGTTCACATTAACAATAAACTGAACTGGTCCCATAACACCCCCCTCTGGGCTGCTCCCTGGACTCTGTGGTGGAGGTGAGGGACAGGAGGGTGCTGGTCAAAGCCACCCCCATCATGAACAAGACCTCCCACTGCACAGGACTGTAGAGGAGCTGAGGAGCTCCTCTACAGTCTCAGTGCAAGAAGGAGCGCTACCGCAGGGCCTTTATCCCCACCACTGTCAGACTGTACAATAAGTCACTAATGCACTAGGACTGATAAAATCTGCACTGATTTTGCCACTTTTTTTGTATATCATTATATCCTGACATGTACTTTTCTCCAGTGTGAGATCAATAAAGTCTATCTCACTATCTTATCTCATCTTGCAAGGGAATAGCGTGAACCAAGTTTTCCTTTATGTTCATAAAGCACTATGAACACTGGGGAAAGCTGGGGTACCTAACCTTTTATCCATAACAAAGACAATACAACAGAAGAGTCCTGTAAATGCTGAGGGGGAAGAAACAACAACAACAACAACATGCTGTCTTTAAGTTATCTTTTACCTATATTTGTAAGAAAACCCCTCTGAGTCACTATTTTACCCTTTGGGCTGAGAGCTGCTTGACTGAGTGAGGATCTTCTCTTTTTCACTTTTCTGTCTGAAAAAAGCTGATCGAAAAATGCCAAAAAGTACATGCAAATGCAAACTAGTGACAGAACCAAGATCAATGTTTTGAGTTTGTGGTAAGCCCAGCTCTTGAATCGTGTGGAAATTGAAGCCGGACCAGCCAGACCATGTGACCATTTTCCATGTCATGTCTTTGTCTGTGCTGCCCCCTGGTGTCAGAGATGGGTATCACATCTCGCGCTCAGGTGTCCTCTGTCAATGGTTCACCTGGCCGTCATGACGTCATCACAGCCACAGGAAAAGACGCCCTGGACCCTGCACGGTCACCTTTCACTCGCAAACTCACAAATACGGAATAGTTTAAAACATATGGTGTCGGCATAACTGACTAAAGGTGACTTGATCAACTTCTAAACCTGAAGAGTCTGAAGAGCAAACACGATGTCCGCCTCAGCTGTGTTTGTGTTGGATCTAAAGGGGAAGGTACGTCAACCTGTTGCATTGTACTAAACGCCGTACGAAGAAACTATTTTTGCTTTATTAACTGATCATGTAGAGGCATGTGTTTATTTAGCTGTATGATACCACTGCTGTCTGTTTGTTAAAATCAGCTTGATTCGTCAGTTTCATTCAATGGTACTTTTTAATACACTTCCGGTGGTTTATTACACAATAACACAGACACTCTTGTTTCTTTTGTAGGGCCCATATCCTTAAATGTGTATATCCTTGTAGGCCTATACTTAAGACCTATGCTTTCATTGAAATTCACAGAGACTGTATTGTATTACACAGTATACAGAATACAGCTTTAATAAAAGCACATAGGAAAATCCATATTTTTGAATAATCTGAACGTGGTTTATTGTCAACGGCTGATGTGAGTTTCCCATATCTCTTACATATTTCACCATGTAGTCATTCTCTGGAGGATAATTTAAACTTAAAGTAATCAATAAGTTTGAGTTTCAAGACCATTGAACAGACAAGCTCTTATTTGTCAAGGGAGTGTGGTATGAGCATTCTATGATACATGCAGGCCTAGATGAACTAAAGGCTCAGCACAATCTCGTGTCATTCATACTAAGAATGTCTTGTTCACTGTGAACAGGTGCTGATTTGCAGGAACTACAAAGGAGACGTTGATATGGCAGAGATCGACCACTTTATGCCATTACTCATGCAGCATGAAGAGGAAGGGCTCCTCTGTCCTGTGTTGTCACACGGAAACGTTCACTTCATGTGGATCAAACACACCAACCTCTTCTGTATCCTCTTTAAATAATGTTATAATCACAGTTTTATGTAGGAAAGAACAGACACAATGTACGAAACAAATGTAAACCTTAACCCCTCTCTCAGTGGTGGCCACAACAAACAAAAACTCCAATGCCTCCCTGGTATATTCATTCCTCTACAAGCTTGTTGAGGTTGGTAATGCTGTGAATGTTGTTTGGAAAGGATGAAATTACAAGATTCTTTATTGTGCAATATGTAGGTGTTCACCGAGTACTTCAAAGAGCTGGAGGAGGAGAGCATTCAGGACAATTTTGTGGTTGTGTATGAGCTGCTGGATGAGCTGATGGATTTTGGCTTCCCGCAGACAACAGACAGCAAGATCCTACAGGAGTGAGTCAGACAGCACTTCAGTAGTAGTTTAATTGTCCAGTTCCCAAATTAGTGATTACGAAATAATTTCCTTTGTGCAGATACATTACACAAGAAGGTACGAAGCTTGAGGTCGCCAAAAGCAAAGTTCCTACCACTGTCACTAATGCAGTTTCTTGGCGGTCGGAGGGCATAAAATACAAGAAGAATGAAGTCTTTATAGATGTCATTGAATCCATCAACGTTCTGGTAAATATCACTAAAACATATCATGCATGTGCACTCCACATATGTTCCAGTGACTGTCAGCTCTGCTACAATGTTGCCAATGCTTTGTGAGAGTTATTTAAGTGTATTAAAGGTTTTTTACCAATAATTACAATTTGGAAAGTATGCATGGCCATACCTGAATGTGAATGCCAGATCCTGTCAGACCTCTGAAGCTAAGCAGGGCAAGGCTGGGTTAGTACTTTGATGGGATACCTTTGGACACCCCAGGTGCCACAGTGGAGCGGCTGTAAATTGCCAAACTGTTGTTGTGTCCTTAGGCAATACATTCACCCACATTGCCTAGAATGAGTCTGGGTGTGTGTGTGAATGGTTGGTGGTGGTTGGTGGAGGGGCCGATGGCATTTACTGGTTGCCTTGCTTCTGTCAGTGTGCCCCAGGGCAGCTGTGGCACACTGATATGTGAAGTGTCCAAAAAATAAATATTATATAATACATTTCAGCCTTTTAAAGAATTTGCTTCAACACTCATTTGACATTTGTCACAAGTACAGAATGTATTGAGAATAATGTCAATATAATATATTTTGGATTAGAGAAGTCCTCACAGAGGAGAAAGAGGATGAAAACAGTAATCATTAAACAAAAAGTTCTGACAAGACTCTTTTTGAAAAGCACATAAGGAGTGTTGCATGAATATCGAATTGTATTCTGTCATTGTTGTGTTCAGGTGAATGCAAATGGAAACGTGATGAGCAGTGACATTGTGGGCAGCATTAAGCTAAAGACCATGTTATCTGGAATGCCCGAACTCAGACTGGGACTCAATGACAGAGTTCTTTTTGCCTTGACTGGGCGTAAGTTGGCACCACTATTGCCATTTTGTAAACTTAATCATGTTGTAATGAGGTGTTTGTGTACAGGAGACAAGGGGAAGACTGTGGTGATGGAGGATGTAAAGTTTCACCAGTGCGTGCGCCTGTCACGGTTTGAAAGTGACCGCACAATTTCATTCATTCCTCCTGATGGAGAGTCTGAACTTATGTCCTACCGCATCAATACCCACGTTAGTTCCATTGAAAACCACTAAGGGCATTCAACATTTTATTCACAGAAGCGTATTGACTTTTTTTTTCAATTGTAGGTCAAGCCATTAATTTGGATTGAATCAGTAATTGAAAAGTTTTCTCACAGTAGAGTGGAAATCATGGTCAAGGTAAATGTAAACATGCCTAATTTCTTTCATTTGCAAAAATGCACAAAACACTAATTTTTTTGCATGTATTATATGCATGTTTTATAGGCAAAGGGACAGTTTAAAAAGCAGTCTGTTGCCAACAATGTAGAGGTCAGGGTGCCGGTTCCCAGTGATGCTGATTCACCTAAGTTCAAAACCAGCACAGGAAATGCCAAATATGTCCCTGAGAAAAATCTGGTGGTTTGGACCATCAAGTCTTTTCCTGTTAGTGAGACAAACAATGATTCAATATTATGTTATCCTGCCGTTCTTCAATAACTATACATCTGTGTTATTTAGGGAGGTAAGGAGTTCTTGATGAGAGCCCATTTTGGTCTGCCCAGTGTGGAGAAAGATGAGGCTGAGGGCAAACCTCCTATAACAGTGAAATTTGAAATCCCATACTTTACAGTGTCAGGAATACAGGTAGGTTTGCTCTGTTATTACTGACAGAGATTCAGCAATTTCATAGATTCATTAATTATCATCGGGGCAGTAAACTCATGGGCAAATATATAATTTTTAGTTCTCACTATCTTTGTTTACAGGTCAGATATATGAAGATTATAGAAAAGAGTGGTTATCAGGCTTTACCATGGGTTCGCTACATCACACAAAGTGGAGGTATGCTATAATAAACAGGCTCCTACGTCACACAATTACAACAATTTTAAGTTATTACTAAGTTACATTTTCTCCTTTTCTAGATTATCAGTTGCGGTCAAACGTGTAGAAGTGCAATATTAATTCAACGGGGCCCACTGACGTGCACTATAAAGAATGAAGGACTGAATCTTATAACATTTCATGTTGTTTGAGTGCTGTATGTGAGGATGCTTTATATCAGATTCATTCAAACAAATGGTTCAAATCAAATTAACATATATTATTTGTACATTTTATGTGATTATTGCTGTGTGTGTAGAAATAAAGGTTGTGTGTAATGTATGTAGTCAGTTTGTGACATGAGTGAGTATTCCGCCCAAATGAGACGTACACGCGCCTTTTCCCTCAGATAGACATGAGATAGCCCAGACTGTGTAGAAGTCTCGGTCTGTCTGACAGAACTGTGAATGAGCCGCTCTCAACACTACAGCGAATACGAATCGCCCGCTTTCTGCGCTGTGGCCTCTGATTGGTGCAGACCTGCTGTTACCACAGCGACTGAGCTGTGTCCCCGCCTTCTTTGGCAAATATGGAGAGACACCGCCCCCCAGACGCACTGTGATTGGACAGCGTGTGCTGGTCCTTGTGTTTGTATGTGCTCAGCCTGAGAGCGCCCAGATCAGCGCGCAAATGTTTTCTCATGTTTATAAACTTCTCTGCGCTCGTTGGGGTTTAAAATTTACTGGATTTTTGAGTCAACGGATTACGAAGCTTGACGACTTCGCGAACACGGACAAAACTTGAAGGTAGCGCTGCTTTACACCGCATTACTGGAACCTCTGTGCTCGTAAATATGTGTAAAACCTCTTTATGTGTATTCTGCTCGGTCCAACAAATGTTGCTATGTCGTTTACATTAAGAACGAGACAATAGTATTCCGCTAGTTACGTTAAGCAATAGCATTAGTCAATATCATGGCGCCTGCCGCATCTATCAACGTAGTTTTGTTGTTTGTCATTTACTACTCTGCTTTGACCATTGTCAGAGCCGGGAGTGAGTTTAACTCGAGGACTAATGATATTTTACACATGTGTGTAACCACAGTGAAGAATGGTCCTGAGCCAGATGGATGCCGGTAAAGCCTTAACAGCGGCGGCAGCCAAAGGAAACACGAACGAGGTGCAGAGGATGCTGGACGAATGCCGCGTACATCCTGATACTCCCAATGAATTTGGCAGGACTGCTCTACAGGTGAGGAATACAATTTTAGACTCGTTTTAACACTTTGTTGCCGACAAGTGTACTTCAACCAAACGAGTCTGTTAGCGCTCTAAAAATAGGTTTGGGTAATAATGATCCAAGTGCTTTTCACAGAGAGCCAAATCAACAGTCTACTGGCAACCAAAAGATGAAAAATGTGTATTATATAATGAACTATGGAGTTAGTATGAAATATGAAATGTGTTGATTGAATTGCTTGCTGAATTAAAGCTATAGACATAGATCTTGAATAGGAGGAATGGGTGTATGCTCTGTGGTGCTGCAACTATGTGCAGGGTTCAATGTTTTTGTATGTGATTGCATATTATATTATATTGTAACTAGGGCCTGTAGAAATAATATGGTGCTAAACATCTTTGTCTATTATAAGCTGCACATGGAATCTTGGAATCTGCATATGTACATCTTTTGTAATACAGGTTAAATACTTATTGTCATTTCTTATGTGAATTCATGAACAGGTCATGATGATGGGAAACCCCAAGGTTGCCAGTCTGCTGTTACAGAAAGGAGCAAACCCAAACCTCCAGGACAAGCACGGCATCTCTCCAGCCCATGACGCTGCTCGCACAGGGTTTCTGGACACACTGCAGGTTCTGGTGGAGCATGGCGCTTCTGTCAACATTGCAGACAATAACGGAGCTTTGCCGATACACATTGCTCTCCGTGGAGGCCACCGAGACGTGGTGGCATTCCTGGCGCCACTGTCTGACTTGAAGCATGCCAACACCAGTGGGCAGACAGCAGTCGATGTGGCCAGAGCCTCCCGCGTGCCCGACATGGTAGATCTGCTTTTTGCTCACATTCACAGTTAGCCCTCTAACCCTTGTGCTCATCCTGGTGACTTGAATTTATTTCTGTGTAAAAGATTGTTTTTGTGAATAGCAGCATTAATATGTGACATAAAACATATTATCTCGGCAGCTTATTTTCAGTGGATGGTGGCTGGTAGTAGACACCTCTTTTGCACAGTGCAATTTAGGCACCTTATACATTTCCCTCGTACAAGGGAGTGCACATGTGTAGATAGTTTATTACTATTGTTGTGTAAAACTTGAACTTTTTTGTGTTTTTACATTTTGACAAAACTTGACGTGGTGTGCACAATTGCTTTGCATAGTTGTTACTCAAATCTAGACTTATCTTAACTTTCCCTTATTTATTTGTGGAATAGATGAAATATTCTTGTTACTTTGTACATAGCCTTTATTGTGCTTGTTGAAATGTTATTTATATAGATTTTTTTAAACAAGTGATTTTTTCACTATGGTATTTGACCATGGAATACAAAATAAACTCTTGGAAATGATTTTTGTTTGAGTTATTTCATGACAGTCATTGTATTGGGTATAAAAGTGTGTTTGTAAAGAGAAAGAAAATACAATGGGATTACCGATGTTATGGCAAGTGTTAAATGCATGTTTTGACAAATTATTGTCCTGTTTATTGAGGGGAACCAACTGTTTAACAAATCATGATTGCTTAATTAGGTCTTTCAGTTGATGCAATAAGACAGTAAACCATTTACCAGACTTTTACCAGAAAGGTGATGTGAAACACAAAGGGGGAGGCCTTAATAATAGATACAAGACATCTACAATCTTTACCATCAATAGATAGATAAAAGGAAAAAATGGGGAAGTGGGGAAAGGTTTGTAGCCAGGAAACAGACAGATTAAAATACAATTGGAACCATCATGTAACACTCTGTCTCTTCATTTGTTTTGGTTAATATCGGTTATTGCAGATATTGAAAGCCCAAGCATCAAGATTGATAAATGGACATTAAAAAGGCTGAATCGGTGCATTTCCAGTGGAACCCAAGGTAATATTAAGAATGAGGTTTCGACTCAGTTGAAGAATGCTTCCTGATGTGAAATGCTCTGAAGGTCACAGAGATAAGTGAATTGAGGCTGAACAAGAGGAGAGCATTGTTGAAGCCTGTAGGTAACCGTGGCACAGATTGCTGATGTTTGTGCACACAGCTCTCAAGACACACACAATGGCTATTTTGTTTGCTTGGGCCACAGGCAAACTTTACGAGCCTGCACTGGAGATACAGTTCAGCTATTCGTCAGCTGCTGTGAATATTCATTGAATGCTAGTTGATTTTATACTTATCACAAATGAAAACATGTACTTTATTATTATTATTTTTTAACCATCCACTAGGTCGAGCTCAAGGCCTCCTGTGTGAACTAATCTGGGTGTGTCTTCACATGCTCAAACACTTCCTCACTGTTGTACAGTTTTGGTCAGTCTACAGCGGGTTTGGAAACATGAGTCAGTAAAACCGCCTTCACCGCGCTATAGGTGAACAGACGATCAATCACAATACTCTTGAAACCATATTTGATCAGGATCAACTACAGTAGAAGAGCTTTGAGAGGATCAGATGGACTAAAAGTGAAAATAAAAGTTGGATACGCCAAAGAGTAGACAGGACAAAATCACCATTTTTTTTTCATTCATTAGACACACAATTATGTTGGGCTTAATTATCAAGTTGCCATTTATAAGAAACACCAGACTGAACTGCTCATCTTTTACAAAATATGTGCATTTATTTGATATGGAAGCCTCCAATGCAGCTGACAGCTCAGTGTCTATCAATAATTGATTTGGCATTATGACAGATTGTCTTTGGAAATTTCCATAGTCTGTAAAAGACTCAGACATTTGTGACACACAGGTCCCGACATGATCTTCCTGCACTGTAACCCGCTGGAGTTGAATTGAGATACAACAAGTCTATGCAACAGGTTATTAAGAACAGGAAGCCAAGATAGTGCAACAACATAGGAGACAAATACTCTGTACATTGAACAAACCTAATATTACAAATAATTACATGTCAGTTGCAGACATCCCTTTTCAGTTTAAAACAATATTTATATGCAGTATATATGATTAGAAATGCTTTATGGAAGTTTTCAGATAAACAATTCATTGACCAGTTTCAACTTTTATAAACAGAATGTCCAGTCATACAGTAATACTGTTTCTGGGAAGCTTTTGTTCGACTCCTAAGGGGAGCAACATGAGACTGGGCGAAGACAGAAACTCTGCGCTTCAAACCTGCCCCACAGGTTATGCAACACAGTGGTTGGACTTATAAAAATATAGAGTTTTCTACACCAAGACACATTTATTTTAGATAACCATAGAACCACAGCAATTTATAAAAAATAAATAGAATGTTAATAATAATAATAATAAAAATAATCTTAAAAAATAGCACTTAACCCAAAGCAATTCCTTTTATTTAAGATTAAGAGATACTTAATTCGTCCCAGTGGGTAAATGTAATTATTTGATATGTAAGACATAATTGAAGTGCAATGACGAATGTAAATCACTGACTGACATCGTCTCCATTGGCCTCCTCTTGCGGCTGCTTTGCCTCCACATCTGTAGACAGCTGTTCCAGGAGACTGTCCTCCACTATGACTGCACTCAGGGCGAGTTGTGGACAGTCCTTCAGCTCCACAGGCAGAGCCCCAAAACGGTTTCCTTTAAGCTCCAGCCGCACCAGCTGTGTTAGACTGGACACCCTTGGGCTCAGATATGACAAACAATTGCTTCCTATAGCAAGAGTTCTGAGGCGTTTACAAGAGAACAACTCCTCAGGAAGGATCTCTAGAGAGTTGAATGCAGCGGAGAAGAACTGAAGCCCTTGTAGGATCCCCACCTCTATCGGCAGCGCGGTGAGCCGGTTGTGCGACACGTCCAGATGGCGCAACTTGGTGCAATAAAAAAGACGCGAAGGAAGTTTTTGGATCTTGTTCCAACTCACGTCCAAAACCTCCAGCGAATGCAGCTTACTTATGTGATCTGGGATGTATGTGATTTTGTTGTGCCACAATCTTAGTGTTGTTAAACGCTGGCAATGTTGTAAACTGAGAATTTCCTCCACAGTCGACAGCTTGTTCTCTTTTAAGTCCAACTCCTGAAGATTACTTAAGCTGAAGATGGCGCTTGGGATGCGTTCCAATCCACAGCTAACCAGCTCCAATGACACTAGACTAGTTAACTTCTTTAGACTGCTTAATGCCTGAAGTTTTCCTCCTTCGTTGTTGATGCTAAGACGCTGCAGTTGTAAGGCCACATCTCCAACACTGGTTGGGATTTTAGTCAAGGTGCAGCGAAGATTAAGAAACCTTAAAGATTTCAGATCTCTGAGGGAATCCAAACTTGCACTCCGTGACGCCTCATGGCTTAATGGGCCGTTTAGATGCAACTCTTCCAGTTCATGCAAAGTGTACATCCACAATGGGAGCTCCTCTAGACTCTCAAAAGCTAAACGCAGTACTTTTAAATGCTCTTGGAAAAAGTTCAGTGCGGGCAGTTGGAGTTTTGCAGGGCAGTAGATCAATGAGAGCTCTTGTAGGGAATCCAACTTTGCCACACTGGGAGGAAAGGTGACATTTTTTACTTGTTCCAGTTTGAGAGCTTCCACCTCATTAAGCTCAAAGACTGTGTCAGGAAGTCCGGGCAACATTAACAAATGCAGCTCCAAACGGTTGCTCAAGTTCTTGGCAAGACGAGTGCGTAGCTTTTTATCTGTCCACTCGTAGTTGAGGTTGAGATGGTACAAGCGGCTTTCACTGACTTCGGACAAAAAAACGGCAAATCTTTTGGAGTACAAAGAATCGTACTGGTCGACAAGATGCAGCAGGAAGGCAAAGTCATTTTTTACATCAGGTATGTCACTGATGCCAGTTTCAAATCGTACTTGCTCAAAGGAGTACTCCTTCAGGGGGCGATGGAAGAGCCAGTAGAGAGTATAGATGCAAACCAGGCCGTAAACTCCAACAAAGCAAATATAGCAGTAGGCAAGCTTTGAGAAAAGAGGGGCCTTGTTGTGATTGCAGCAGAAGATGTTAAAACCTGTCAGTTCGGGGGGAACCTTGCAGCGAATCACAATCTGAATGTTATGCACCAGCACTGTAGCGTAGATCATAACAAATAGAAACTTCAGTACTTTTAATGAGGTCTGCAGCACATACATGACATACAAGAGATCTGCCTCCTCCACATGGGTACGCAGTTTCTTCACTTTTTCAAACAGTGCTTTGGCTTGTTCCCCTTCTTTTTTATCCAAAGCTGTGGCTGTCAACTGAGGCTCGACAGATTTTTTTTCGGGGTTAGATTTAACCGATGAGGAGCGAAGAAGACCCACTGTCTCCTCATTGTCTATCCTGTTTTTCTCTGAGGGGTTTTTAGAAACAGTATTCCTTCTCAAACTCACCAGCTTCTCCTCCCCTCTCTCTTCAGAAACCTCACTCAAGGCCCTAGTTGTCCACGGGGAATCAAAGCACTTCCCCAGAATGGAAACGAAAAGTTCAATTTTAGACGAGGTCCCAGGGTACTTGAACCAGAAGCTGCTCGCCACCATGAAGACCATGGTGTGAATGACAACCAGATATGGGAAGAACTTGGCGAACCAGTGGACAAACCATGTGTAGCAGTAAGCGTTGACAAACACATATTGATGGATGTCAAGGTCGTTTTTATGTCCTCTCACTTCCTGAATGATGGGGTTCACTGGAATTTCCAATGTGTCGTTTTCTCCATAGTTCCTGATGTGGCTGCAGTCAATAGCGTTTGGTGTAGGGCTGGTGAAGCGGTTCGGCAGGCAAGCAATTTTTTCTGAGGTAAGCTTAAAAAAACACAAACACACAAATTGTTAGTGAGATACACAGTAGTTAGTTGGAAAGGAGACATTTTAAGTACACATGCACAATCAATACATGATAATATTGAACCTGAATACGAAAGCGTAAATACCGATAACAGTAACAATGTAGTAAAAAAAAACATTTGAGTACTGAGCAGCATGTTGGGCTAAGAACATTCAAAATATCACAAATCTGAATCACATTTTCATATTTTATTCATGACAATAAATCAAATGCCTTTTTAATCTTATGGACAAAAAGATACAGATAGATCATTTACATGCGGACACTGATTGCAGTAATGACTGTATTAACCAGCAAGATCACAAACAAGCCAGACACAGAGGAGGCGAAGGGCCTGTGGTCTGGCAGCCCAGGCCGTGGTCAGGAGATTGGAGAACTGAAGGATTGAGCTTCTTTTTTTGTTGTTGCATGAATAAAAAAAAAATCTATTTTAGCCTCTGGTTTTTTTAATGGATTTTTGTTACATTATTTTTTCCTGCTTTTATTCTCTTTTTAATGCAGTGGTCTTTTTTAAAACCTGGCCCAAAGAGCCTCTGATGGATATTCATAGGCTATACAAGAGTATATTCATGTTAATACATAATAATTATCTGTTCACTACATGGGCCCAGGCAAGTTTATTTGTACAGCACAATTTATACAAAAGGAAACTCAAAGTGATAAATAATAATCACAGTACATTACAAAGAAAGATAAAAATATAAAATCCCTCAATTGTATGCAAAGCTAAACAGAACTGATTTCAACCTGGTTTTAAACATGGTCAGAGAAGAGGCCTGTCTCACATCTTCAGGAAGATTGTTCCAGATTTTAGCAGCATGAATCTGAAATGCAGCCTCCCCATGTTTAGTTCTGACTCTGGGCACTACAGGAGTCCAGTCCGTGTGTCTATAAATGTATGTATTGTAGAGCAGATATAACTTGATATATATTCACATAAAGGAATTTGTACCTGTAAAGTGCATCCAAAGACTCCGATCATGAGCATGGCGAGGCACAAGTATTCGGAGAACACATCCCACCAGGGCTTCAGTACCCGGTACTTTTGGTTCTGCTCTGAACCCAAGTTTCTGAACTCCCCCACTGGGATCATCCTGGAGTTTGCTCTTACCTAGAGACCAGAGGAAAGATGATGAGGCGGTGGACTTCAATACAAGTCTGATGATACTCAATGTAGATTACTACATAATAATCCAAATATCCAGTGATGTTAATATTCATTCAAAAACAATGCTATAAACACTGCCATATACATTTTGTCCCTCCATAAAACAAGAACCCACCTTTTCAGTTGATCTTTTTGCTACAATGTGGTGAAACAACGTGAGTGGCAGCTGTGAAGGAAAAACAGCGTGTACCTTTAAAATACAAAATGTTTTTAAAAGTAAGGAAAGGTAAATGCGTTAAAATACATTAGAATAAACATGTAAAAAAACAAAACGCGTATAACTATAAGATAATGTAAATAAAAAGAAAAGAAAACATTGAACACATGTTACAATAACATAATTCTGACAACAGTTATCAAATTAACGCTGTGGTGAAGGACAGAGTCAAATGTTTAAAGTTTGTATAAAGTAGGCTTCTGTTGTGTCTCAAAGTGCGCTTACCTGAGCCTGGGGAAGATTGGCTGGTGTCCGGTGTCAGACAAGCCCAGGGCAGCACACCGGTGTAAAGTAAACATGACATGACAAGAATAAGCCTCAGCTTCCTACAGGCCTTTCCAAAATAAAACCCACAGACGATATATATTCAAACAGTAAAAGCCCAAAACGTACTTTAACCAAGATAAGAATAATGTCATAACTGCAAATCCAATGTAATATAGTCTTGAAGACAAACTTCAATCAATTCAGAAAACGGGGTTTGCAAGTCAGGCCGTGCGTAAATATTTGCAAAAGCCTACTTAATCTAGTGTGGTTTCCTCTCAAATGACATAATAATGGCGTAGGGCATCACCTACGGTGGCTTTACCGGGGGCCAAACAACTGAGCACACCCTCATCTCCGCAGTGTCAGCGTTTTAGATTCATTATTAGTGTTTGTTTCCAAAGAATAAGGCTACAACTTGACATCGTTATTTTTTTTTAAATAAAAGTGTTAAACTAATAAACGTAAAAGCTCTTTAACACCATCCAGTGGTCATTACTTACTACTACATGTAGGAATTATGAATATTTAGTCAGAAATGAACACAAATAAAGCTCTGAACATTTTTCAAAACATCTTTACTTTACAGTGTGCCATTGTGCCCATCTGAACTGTTTGTACAGTCTGTCTTTAACAGCTTCCACACATCAACTTGATAAGTGCTTTTTATGCTGGAGGTTTGCAAACATTCACATGCAAATTACTCAAACACACCACAAGAATCCAATTCAATACAAAGTTTGACTCAAGGTCAGTTGAAAAAACATTGATTCCATCAAATAAATATAAAAAGTTATTTAATTCTGTACAAGACTTCTTGGAACATCAGTGTATAAAAACCACAAAGAAACCTTGGTAGCTTAAATTGCTGTAGGAAATAAACTTTGTTTGCAACGTTGCACTAGTATACAATATGTATACACTATACAGTTGCTTTTGTGAGGTTTATAAAAAGGTGTGCAAAAATAGTTCAATGGGATGAAGAAGTTCAGCAAACAAACTTCTTGATTGGCACTCAACAAACCAATGACTCAAAGTTATCACCTTAGAAAAAAAAGAGGTGAAAGAGTTCAACATTTCACATTTAAAAAACACATAAGTTACATCACAACAGAGTTTCATGCCTTCTCAACTTCTTTCCAACAATACACTGACAGCTTTAATGTCCACACAAGCCTATTAATGGCATTTTGGAAAACAAGTGCCCATACTAACAAATGCTACAGAAAGATAATTCAGGGCATTGGGAGCCCTTTTGTCCCCATCAAGTCGGGAAGCCACTTTTAAAGAAAACATATCCCTGGAAAAAAATGTGTTTGCATTACGCAGCTTTGAGTACAAATAATAACTGTTTCTAAATCTAATACTGGAGGCAACAACTGGTGCATTTCCAATCATGCTGACAGCTGATGTAAAAATATTAAATTAGTAAGAGTTTGGGACCTATCCTCATGAGTGTCTGTGTGACCGCTGGTTTGACCCATGAGTGGAGTGGTCCGAGTGTTCGGTTTGAGATGAGCCCCCACAGTCTGCGTCTGATGTCTGATTCAGAGACAAACCCTTTGGACAGGGCTCCATGGTGACAGCCACACCCACACCACTCCGCCCCGACATCATGTGGGTCACTTCAGCCCATGTGTCGCTCTCAGGGTCATAGCACTCCACACTGTCCAGAAACGTGTTGCCATCATAACCTCCTGAAACAAAGATGAATCATGAAATTATGGGTAATCATTAACAATGTCTGACATTTAAGAATATAGTCCAAGAGTCAACCAACTCAACCAGTGCAGAACACTAGTTGAAATGTAACAATAATGCATGCCATTTATAAAGACATCACAATGTAGTGGTCTTCTCTCACTGTAACCAGTGCTGCCCGAGGGAAGACCTCAATTTATCAAACATACTAGAGTTTAGATCAGGTGCAGAGAACCCATCCTGGTCAGAGTGATAACCCACATGCTTGAGTTCAACATGTGTTTTATACAGCATTACATTTCATGCACTGCAGTTTAATTGGCAAATGTGTGTATAGAAGTGCTTGATGTGTTGGCTTTAGTGTTGAACCGGCAGACAGCGGTCTCGGGTACAAAAGTTATAAATTCCTTATTTTCTCTTTGTCTCACGCCGGTCTAAGCTCAGCTCACAATCCCTTTAGTGGGTAAACAATCCAACGCTTGGTGGATTCTGCTTCGCAATGATAGGAAGAGCCAATACTCTTGGAAATTAAACTTTTGTCTTGCAAGAAAGTATTTTTTAGTATTTTGTTACAAATATAGAACTAAAGCTGCATTTGTTGTTACAGGCCTATTTTAGGTGTCGTAAAGGAATATTGTATATACAGTATTCATAAAAGCCAATGCAGTCTCATGCAGCATGCACCAGTGGAGGAACATGGAAACAAAGAGCAGAAGTGTAGGGTTTTGAGTTTGGGCCAAGAATATTAATTCTAACACACACTATATTCACACTTTGTCATTTCAGTCACTTACAGTTTCAATCATAAGTTCACATACACCTCAGCTTACTTTTCACCAAAAGTCACCAGACTTATGAAAGTCCACCATCCTTCCCATGACAGGAAACAAAAAGGCACTAAGCCTGAAGCCCTTTAGATAGATACAGATGCACCTCAAATTTTACCAAATCATGTACACAGTTGATTTATGATGATTTAGTCTACCGTTTGTAAACTTCTGAGCCGCTAATGATGTGATGAATAAAATTACAAATAGAAGATTTCAAAATATTAGGAGGAAATTAAGATTAAAGTAATGTAATAAACAGGGAGAAAACGTTTTACTCTGATTAAATATCGAGAAATAAAAGATTTTTTTTGCTAAAGTCTACGAAAACATACGTCTTCAACTGTAGCTCCCATTACAGTACAGCAGTGTCTCCCAAAGTGGGGTCCGCGGCCCCCTGGTGGGCCGCGAGGGTACTGCAGGGGGGCCGCGGGAGGTCATAAAAAAAATAAAAAAAATAATATTATTATTTAATGTTAAATTTATAATGTTTTGTTTGTAATATTAAAATATTTGTGTTCATTATTTGACTTGAATAATCCACTGTAATCATTTTTGTATTACAATGTTTGTAGCAGAGGCTATTTCCCCAAAATAAAATAACCAGAAGAGCATATTCTTAATGTTGTCTTCTTGGTTATTATTTTGGGGGGGCCACGCAGACCCTTCAGATTTTTAAGGGGGCCTCTGTGTTGCTAAGTTTGGGAATGGCTGCAGTACAGGATATACATAACTCACCCAACACATAAATACGTCCATGAAGAGCAGTGACTCCCAGAGCGCTGCGCCTGTGTCTCATGGAGGCTGCAAAACTCCATGCGTCAGTTTCCACACTGTAGCACTCCACTGTGTTCAATTGATTGGTACCATCATAGCCTCCCATCACAAAGATGTGATTTCCAAGAGAGCATACACCTAAAAGATATGTAAAGATAACTTTTTACTCATGAGAAGACCACAGAAAAAATGTCCACACTGCATTCATCAGTGTAGCTTACCTGCTCCCGAGCGAACCGTGTTCATGGAGGACATGGACTTCCACTCGTCCCTCTCTGGGTTGTAGCTCTCACAGGAGCTGAGGCGGTTGGCTCCGTCGAAGCCCCCAACGGCATAGAGCAGCCTGTTAATGACGGCCACTCCGACACCAATGCGGCGGGTCAACATGGGGGCCACCAAACTCCACTCATCTTTCTCTGGATCATACCTGCAACAGCAGAAGATCGGAGTCTTAACTTAAGTGTAAGCTGTAAATAATAATACATCGAAAATGGGAAGAATGTTATGTGGTCAATCTATCTATACTTAAATTGACATTACAAAACAAGCTTTCGGTTTGTAATTAACCACTCACTGAACTTACTGCTCAGTCATTCTGTAACTTATTAAAAACAGATTTTGACACATCAGGTATGTTTGGTTGACTATGAATAACTCAAGCACACTTGAACTTTCCAAAAAAAACTAAACACAATTTGTATCAGATTGATACGTCTTTAAACCTGGCCACCTTGTAAAAAGAAAGGACAAATCTCAAGAGGCCATCTGAAGTGAATAAACAAATGTAAACATACCTTTCGACGCTGTTGTGGTGAATACATCCATGCGATCCTCCCACTGCATACAACATGCCATCAATGACTCCCACTCCAATCCTGTTTCGTGGCACACTCATCGGGGCACAGGGAAGCCAGCAGTTGTTCATGGGGTTGTAACAGTCTAGTGCGTTTGAGTCCATGTTTCCATCGGGTGCGTTGTTTCTCCCTCCCACTGCATAGAAGAGCCCACTGATGACACAAGCAGCCAAACCACTGCGCGGGACCTGCAGATCAGCCAGCCTCAGCCAGGCGCCCGTACAGGGGTTGTACGCTTCCAGGAAACTTAGAGACTGTCGGAAGTAGCCCCCCGCAGTATAGATCAGCTGTGGAACCTTCGGGGTACGGCATGGGATGACTTTTGTGGGTTTGTGCAAGGTGAGGTCCTGAAAAATCTGAGCTAAGTAGTCTTTACACTCTGGATCCCACTCCAGAGACTGGAGCTGAGTCTTCAGGAAGTTTGGGGTGAGTGAGTGACAGCGGACAGCTTGAAGTAGGGCCTGGACGTACGGCTTCCGGTTTTCCCGGTCGTACCGCACCCACGCCACGCAGGCATGAAACACCTCCGACTCACAGCGCACATTGAGCTCGTCTCGGCTGATGAGGTTCACCAGCTGGCAGTGGGACAGGTTGAAAAATTCTTCTTGTGTTGCAACCTAAAGACATCAGCAAATATAGTGAAAAACAATAAACATGACACAAGAGACAAGTGTAACAGTTTATATGAATATGAATACATTTGTATGAAAGCTAAGTCATTTTGATGGACTTAGCTAACAAATTAATTGTGAAATGATAATATTGAAAATAACTTGGGGGAAAAGTGAAATTACAATGTAGCCAGAAAAACCCTGCAATTATTATTATTAATCAGAATTAGTGAAGTCAAAGAAATTTGCAAAGATAATTTTCAGACAATAAATACTGAGCCTAAATCATATTGATCCATGCTTTAGTTATTGAATGTGAAATCAATATAGTATTATTGTGACAGGCCTAGTGACACAAACTCTAAGTAACAACATCCCAGACACAGCAGATCATTAACTAGGGTCAACACAATGTAATTGTGTTTGCGCATCACCCTGGAAACTCAAATAACATGTGGATAAGCTCAAAAAAAAAAAAAGGTGCTCCTTACCTCACTAAAGTTCAAATAGATGTATTCTCGTGCCTTCTGGTGCAGCTCTGTACAACCGATCTGTTCGGCAAAGTTGGCTATGCCGATAGCATTGCTGGGATCAAGTTGCTGCACAAGGAAATCGCAGCAAGCCTTGACCACGCAGTCGATCTGGTACATAACAGCCCCATTCATGACATGGATCACACACTTTTCCCCAACAGAGATGCTTGCTGTGTAGGCAAACTCAATAAGTCGTTCCATAACCTGGGGACAAAAGGAAAACAACACAAAGGATAAAACGAGGCCACAGCTTCCAGCTAGAGGCCAACTTGATTCATGAAAAAGAAAAGACTCCCTTAACCTTCATTGAAATACTGTAAAATACTGTTTTTAATTCTGTTTAAAGCTTTTAACACAAACAAATTGAAATGATGAACTACTTCCTTAATTTGGTACAATCCTTTGTTTTCAAATGCATGTAGTTTGGCCACTGTAACATCTTTGTATCAACTTTTTCAAACAGAAAAGTGAAAATAAAAAAAACTGTTAAAGGACTACCCTCACTCTGCCAATCAGTTCTCTGCCCTAAGCATGAAACAGTGAATTTCAGGGCTCCGTTGTACTGGTATGCTGAAGATAAAATGTTTTCCAATAAGATAAATACAGAACGTTGTGGACCGATTTGTTCACAACATGAGATAAAAAGGAAGAACATGCATTATTTAGGAAACAAAAACGTTATGGGAAAGAATGCATAAGTTTACCTTTGGATGAATCCCTTCGATGGGGACCACTTCCATCCCGCACTCCTTCAGACCGTTGGTGAACATGGCTCTAAACACCGGCGATGATGAAGCCAGCACTACTTTGTGAGCGACAAACTCCACGGCCTCCAGGTCTTTGTAGCACACTCTGAGCGTCACGTCGCAGAGCTGCCTCTCCAGCCGCAGCTCGTTCATAATCCTGAACGCAGCGGCGGTGTGGCTCTCCAGAGTGTAGCTGAAGACACGGTGGCCATTGCGCGTGGATGGAGTGACCAGCGCTTTGCATTCTGTCAGGCACTGTGTCATGACCTACACTTTCTCCACCTGCCAAGAGTCCCTCAACAACTGAGCGGCATGCCACGGGCCATCTCCGCACCATAAAGTGGCCTACAGAAAAGGAAACAACAAGAGCCTGGAAAAATACAGACGCACTTGATGTATCTCCCAACTTATGTGGATCTTGTCAGTTCAAGACAGTCCAGTCTGATTATCTGAAAGGATCCATGGTCGTTTCCAGTCATGGCTCTGTCGACAAAAGTATTCCCAACATTGTCATAAATATATCAGCTTAAGTTCTTGGGAAGAGGGGTGGTAATAGAGATTATGCAAGACGCACGGTAAGAAGTAAGCCTGTTGACTGGCCCCTTAGCGGTAAAGGGTCAAGTGAGAAACGTGGAAGAGGAGCCTCCAGTTTACCAGCCCAGGAATTCTCTCTCAGCGGAGATGTGTCAGACTCAGAAGTTTGTTGCAATAACAACTGCAAAGAGAGAGGGAGAGAGAGAGGGAATGTTATAACCACTTGAAAACAACACCTAGAATTGAAATGCCAAAACATCTAGAAAACAAAACTTATAGAGCACACAAATTAACACAAATGGTAGTTAGAAGATTAGTGTAAGTCTTTAAATGGGTAATTAAGTTTCCCTGGAGCTGAGTGTGTGGGTCCTTATGTTTTTTTCTTTGTATAAAAAGAATACAAATGTAGGCACAGAATTGCAGGTCACAGCCTCTTTTTATCCTTTTAATTAATCCATCCATTATTTAGAACAACAATATGATCAATCTCAATTGGACTAGATAAAGCTGAAGTGAACCAGAGAACATTTTAAGATTAATAGTTGCTGCTCTGTTTGAGTTTTAATTAAAATATGATTAAAAAGGTGGCATTGATTTGACATTTAACATATAATTAGCAGGTAAAGAATGAGTAACAACGTCGGCCAGTAACAAGTATCGATTAATTATGTTTTGAACGTTACAGAGACTTCAACATGCTTAGGTTTCTATGACAAATCCAAAAATAATGCAGAACAAGAAAATGTGTTTACACAGTATTAATCAACAACCCAATGTGAAGACGTTATCCAGGGGCATCATTTGAGCTTTGTTTTGGTCAAATGTATAAAAAAAACAAACAATCCCATATTCACCATTGGACCTTTCGGGATTAGGGGTGTGACGATATATACTTTCTCCCGCGATTCGATTATCGATATGCATTTGCCAGTTCACTAGTATCGATATGAATTTTGAAAAAAAAAAAAAAAAAAAGATTTAAAAAAAAAAATTGGTATCAATACTTAATATATGGCTACATTACGCATCTCCATTCCATTTATCATGAAATAAAGTGTATTTTTTCTTTTATTTATGCCATAAATTGGCATATTGTATATTTCTGACCAATATATCGATAATCGTCATATTGTGAAAAAATCGTTATCGTGATATCGTTATTGTGATAATATCGTTATCGTGATAATATCGTTATCGTGAGCTTTGTATCGTGAGGTACCCTTAGGTTCCCACCCCTATTCGGGATCCAAACAACTAATTGATTACACAAAAAAGAATAAATGGGTAAACCAGTTGATTATCAAAACAATAGCCCGAGTATTAGCAGCATTAGGGCAAGCTGTGAAAAGATTTTGCATCATGAGTCATGGCTTGATATGGGCAGGCTGTGTTTACAATTTACAACCACCTCTTCATGGTCTGCCTTTAGTTTCCTGTAATCAGAGTTATTTGTTTTGGTTAGGTTGGTACCAAAAAAAAAAAAAAAAGTCCAGCACTGAATGTATCCAAAAAAAACAAAAGGTTGGCATGACACTCTGGTACAAGAGTCAGGATTACTCAGCAATAACACGAGCTGACACTGGCCCTTATATAACAAGGCACCCCTGTAATCATTACCATAAGTTATGATAAGGGAGTTCACTACGTATTGCTTAGTCAACACGCAAACAAACAGAACTTTTGCTCAACGCCATCTTTCTAGAACAAGTATGACGTCTGTCCCAAGTGAAGTCCAGGGTAACACGAAGCACAGGCTGATTTGATTTTGATTTACTGCTGTGACTTTGCCTCCCGGTTTCTGGGTGAAATAGTTCCGTAGAACATGTTGCACCACTCACCAAATCCAAAATGAACAAACCGACTAGGCCGAAATGTGTGTGCGTGTATTTTATGAACTACCTGCTAAACACATTCAATTTAATGAAGTGTTGTTTTTCACGCCATCTGCACATTTTACGCTTAAAGAATAGGCTACTGGGTCATTCAATTAGTATTGAGCTACAGTAGCCTAGATTGCATGTGTGTGTATTATTACATGTTCTGCATTTTGTATTGTGTGTGTTCATCGCTGTGGAGGGTGCTATACAAGTTGCTTGGAGGGAAATCAAAAGTTGAATGAGCAATAGGTTAGACATAAAAAACTGGGTTACCTAACTTTTGGTTTCATGCATAAATGTTTTGTTTGTCCCAACACGTATCTATCTTATAAATGATCCATCTAACAGAAAGATGAACAAATGAGACCTCAACTTGCTGTCTTCATCTTAATAGAAAACATGTCATCCTTTGCATACATGCAGGAAAGAGCAGTGAGTCAGTAGTTCAGGCTTTGGTCTGGGAGCTGAATGAGGGGGATCCTCTCTTTTTCACTCGTCTGTCTGAAAAAAGCGGATCTAAAAGATGTGACGGAGGGAAAAAAATACATGTGAAAACTAGTGATAGAAGCAAACTGTTTTTAATGCTCGGAATTTGAGTTACATGGATTATATTTTATAGTTTAATTTGTTGATGGTTTGGAAATTAGGTATCCCAGCTTTAAAAGGCATGAAGTATAAGAATGTATTATGCTACTACAAAGCAACACAACTACAATATTCTTGGGGCGTAACATAAGTTTCCACACACAAAAAAACATCTCCAAACAAAGCAAGATACAGGTGCTCCTTAAACTATGTTGACTGCAAGAGTTTGCACCCTCCAACCGAGACTAATATAAACTAGTATTTTTAGCTTGTTTTTCTCAATCTTTGCATACAATAGTTCACCGAGACATGGGCCAATCGTGCAGTACTGAAGGGATATCGTCGACAGCTTTTTTTCCCACGACAAACAAGTGGCTCTCATAAGAATACGTGTCGTAAATACAGCTGACAGCAAGCAGCCCTCTAATAATAGAAATGGGCTACTATACTAAACCTACGGGCGAGTAGTTCAAGGCGAACCCAAGCGCGCTGCATTTGTGTCGGATTATGAGGCAATGTATTGGGATGCTTCATGTACAAACGGGTTAGTAAATATGGAACAAAAGAGACTCACGTAAGCCAGATCCGCTCCTCCATCGCAGTGTGCCAAGCTGTCCACCGTCACAGAGGAAGGAAAGAGCAGTAACTCACCATGACTAAGCAATGTACTAGCTCTCTGTACCTTCACAATAAAAATATAAATCTTCTTTCACAATAAAAGCCGGGAAATGTTTATTTTACCCGTAGACTGCCACTAAAGGCTGATGATTTTGGTAGTGATCATTGAACAGCGTAAGTTTGTCAGTAATTTAGATTGATAGACACAATATTTAAAATTGGGCCACTGATAATAAATGTCTCCGCCAGATGGCAGCACAGACGAGCTAATGGCAGACCCGCCCTCCGATTGTTGGACTCATGGATCAGAAACATGTCAAAGTAAGTTTATTTGGATTTTTGTGCGAATATTTTCAAACTTCAGTTTTATTCAACGATAATTCGACGGTGCCAGTCAAAGGGAGTTTGTTCAGAGTAGACAGACGTCTTGGTAGAAGGCCTTGCAAATTACATTTTAAATGATTAGTTAATGCTCACTTCGATCTTTTCAGATGGAGGGTCTGATGCTTGCTTTTATCCATCTACATTTGTTACATTGTCTTGAAGGCCTCACAGTCTCCATCCAAATAATGTTGTCCATCCGTCTGGTGTTTAGTAAAAATGTTAAAGATAAGAAAGTGCACTTTGTGATTTCCCACTTGATTAGGCGTGAGTTTAGCGCATAGGCTGTGTGTATAGCTCAGTGAACACTCAGTGATAACATCTGACGCAAACACTGTTTGTGTGATAAACTTCACATGTTAAATGTGCGTATTTTAAACAAAGCCATGTCATATTAAAGGCTTTTTAAATATTCTGACCAGAGTGCTTAGGATTTTTGTTATCATGTCATGAGTAATTCTTAAATTGTGATGCATTATTCTGAAAATATACCAAACATGTCTGGACATGAAGTATCTAAAAAAAAACTATGTCTACAAGTGAACTAATAGTATTTCATCCTTTAGTGTACCGCCTGTGCATCTTGCCTCTATATGGCTACTTAGCACCATTGCTATGGTCTTAGGTGTTAGAGCCCTGTGAAGTATCATATAGAGTCTCACACATGTTTTGTGAAGCTTAGGAGCACCTCTGATTTTTGTGAAAAACATATCATGTGGGTTTAATAAACTGGATAGTTGCTAATGCTAATTCTATTAAACATTAGGTTTTAGATGTAATTACAAAATGCCTTGATGATATTGGTGGGAAATACGTTAATTTTTTGTGAAGAAGAGAGGGAAGTAAAACATGGAGACCAACATATTCAGTATTTACTTTGTGAAAAGTTTGTTCCTGCTTATCTTTTGCATGTGTAGTTGTATTGCACTATACTGAGAAATAAGCACAACATTATTGTCTCTATGACAACAAGCGGGTGGCCTTAAAAAAGTTGCATAGAGCACTTTAAATGGTTTAATTGAACTGGGCGTATGAACCTAATATAAAGGTTCTGCAAAAATATCTGTAAAGTGCCCTGTGGCATCTTGGCCGTTTGGCAGTGGGTCTGACAGGAGGTCAAAGTGTGGTTAAGGCTAATGTTATGACAGATTAGCAAAAACGATCAGTGCATCATTGTAAGGTTTCACCGCCTCAGTGACCTTATAATAAACCATGGTTTCAGGGAGATGTCATTGCCAGATGTGAAACACGGAGGCCAACTTCCTGTGTAGCTTCTTTATAATCCCTTCTTTCAAGGACACAAAGTCAGACCCCCTTCCAAAATAGACAAAGACATACCTAGAAATAAAGGCGGTTTTACTGAGCAAAGAATATAAACAAACATCAAACATGGTTGGACTCTGCAATGAAACATATTTATTTCTTTTATAAAAAGAAATTATCAAATCCTGCTGCTGCTATATTTTCAGAAGAGAAATAAAAAAACAAGACATGGATTACACTGGAAGTGTTCAGCATTTTCATATTGAGTATTGCAGAACATTCTATGGACACATGTTACAGATAAACAAAAACATTGCATAATTGGTAAAAACAATAAATTAAACAACAATATGCAGTATTATATGAAATAATAAGTAATTGATTTACACAGATAGTCGCAAAAAGAAAAGATCTATACTAAATACAAAGTATAGATCATTGTGACCTTTCAGTAAATGGGGGAAAACCCAAAACACTTTTCCTGTTGATAAAGAAGCATGCGATTCAGGAACCTACCATCGGCTCGAACCAGCGGAAACCAGGTGGGTGCAGATGCTGTAATATCCATATAGTGTAAACATGTGAAGGGCACACAAAAATAAACATACAAGATACTAAAGATTCATTTAGCCACTTTCTTGTTCACCAGGAGCCAGCCTAATAAGTGACTTGTAACTGTTCTCTACTTCATAGCTCTTACTGCTTTTCACAATGGCTTTTCAGTGCAAATTACATATGCACTTTTTGTGCATACGTTTGAAATTTGATTACTGTTTGAATAGTTTTGGGTAGAGAGTTTTTATTGTAGATGGTGTGGTGATAACATTCCCAGAGGAGATAGTGGTGTCCAGACCAGCTTCTAACTTCTGTGACGCTACTTCACTTTTGCTGAAGCTGCACTCAAGGAAAGGTATGCCAAGCTTCTTAACCTGACCGTCGCTGGTCATTAAACATGGTCTACAGAGCAGCCGGAGGATGGCTCGTCTCATGTCTTTACTAGTCAGTGTGTAGATTATGGGATTGAGAAGGGAGTTGACGATGGCAACTCCCAGGAAATAATCCACTTTGTAGAGCACCCTACAGCTGCCTGTAGGGCAGACAAAGTCCAGGAGGAGCAGGATAAAGAGGGGCATCCAGCAAGCGATGAAAACCCCCAAAACAATGGTGACCGTTTTCAGGAGAGCGATGTACTTCTGGGACTTTCGGGCTAAACCTTTTCTAACACTCCCTGTGAATGTCAGTCTCTGACGCTGTGTGTTATTGCGGACAATGCGGAAAACTCGAATATACAGTACCACAATGGCGAGTAGGACTGCAATAAAGACAGACACACAGAAAAGGATGTAGCTCTTAGTGTAGAGTGGCAGGACTGTTGAGCACTGCTCCAGTCGGTGCATACAGTTCCAACCCAAAATCGGCAAGATTCCCAAAAACCCTGAGAGGGCCCAACTTGCCCCAATGAGTGCCAGCATCCGGCCTTTCTTTGCACCATGATATGGCCTCATGGTTACCATAGTAACGTGGCGTTCTATGGCAATAGCCAGTAAACTGATGACAGATGCAGCAAGAGTGATGAAGACTCCACCTTCTCTGATGAACCACAGCAGAGGGGTGAGTTTTAGAGAGTTCGGTCCAGACATTACAATGTTGGCCATGTAGGTGATTCCAGCTAACAGGTCTGAAAGGGTCAAGTTCCCCAGAAGATAGTACATGGGCAAGTGGAACTTTTTGTTTTTCCAGATGGCAATGAGCACCACCGCATTCTCCAGCACAATGAACAGACACACCACCAGGAAGACAATGCTCTCCGGCTTCAGGCCCTCACAGCGGTTCTTCAGTTTTCCTGTATAATTGTAATGATCCACAATTACAGAGTTGTTCAAGTACTCCAAGAAGAAGAGCAGATTTCTATGAGGAGTTGATGTTGGCAGGGGGGGTATAGAGGTGAAGAATCCTGTATCAGGGGTTGCATCCATGTTCTGTACTGCTCCACAAGTGTTCTGGCTCTCACTAATGTTTATTAAGTCGACTTGTTTATCGTCTTTTGTCAAACACAAGTTTGAAACCCAATAAATGTTGTTGAATCATCTTCTGTTTCCTGGTCTGAAGAACTGCAAATATTAAAACAAAACAGGCAGATCAGACAACATTTGGAAAGCTCTTACTATTACAACAACACATCAAAATAACCTGTCTCACGACAGGCGGTAGGTACTATGTTAGTGTCTCTGTTTTATTTATTATCTTTTATAAAGTTTAGGCACATCCCTCGCTGCAGGGCGACTAGTGCACCCTAACTCATCATTTCAATTCTATGTGGGTTTTCCTCTGGACCAGTTTGAATCTACATAAGATATTGTTTATGTAATGCATGCATGAAGGTTGTTTGTTTACTTTCACTTATTCAGTCTCATGTCAACATTAGGTTTGGATATTTGAACAAGCACAAAATACACAATTGACTCCAGAGCTTGTACAATCAGAATTTACTATAACTGCATCTGAATCCTTTGAAGGTAAAAAGTAAAATCTTCCTGGTATTACACAAAAATGTGAATAATTTTACCTTGAAACTGAGTGTCCCTTCTACGGCTGTCCATATGGTTCGAGTGACGAGAATCCAAACATGAGCCGTCTGTGACTCAGAGGCGTCTGACAGAGGAGTGAGAGTTCACTGAGAACTTCACAGAGAAACTCTGAGGGGGCCGTCCCACAGCGCCTCTCCTCCTACTGACCCCCACGCAACCATCATGCATGCTTTTGAAAAGTAAAACGCTTTTCTTTAACATGTTCTTTGATTTAAGATAACGATTAGATGATATATGTTAGGCTACACAATTAGATCAAGTTATATTTACATTACTACTTTTTATAATGTTTAGTAAACTCTACTACTCACAAATTTACATCCATCTGACCCACACGTAACTGGATAAACACAATAAAACTTTTGCTTGTCACAAGAGAAATAGTCTGATAAAAGAAAATCATGAACAAATCAGACCACACACACACACACACTTTATTTTATTAGGACATGTTCACTTTTAAATACTTTAAAAAGATCCCCGTGATTCACTATTTGGGCTGAGAGCTGAGTCTTCTCTTGCACTTTTATGTCTGAAAAACGGCTCTAAAGATGTGACAGAAAGAAAAAAATACATGCACGTGAAAACTAGTGATAGAACCAAAATGTTTTAGGAGCGTGGAATTAGTTAGATGGGTTTTAATTGATGATGTTGTTTTTTTTTTCTATTTTTTTTTATTGTTTGAAAGTTATGTACCCCAACTTTCTTTTCATGTGAACAAGTTTAAACAGGAATTGTCTGTAACGCGATAAATAATTTCTTTGGAACAATATCTCTCTTCACCTGATCATTCCTCTGATTCTCACAGTGGATGTGGAGCGGCGGCGGTGGCTCCGTTCCCACAGATGTCAGCGTGCTTTGACTTGTGCGGCTTCTCCCCTGTTCTGCGTTTGCTTCGGGGCTTCAGAGTCTTGATCAGGACACGACAGGCCGGGCCTACAGGTGATGGGGCTCTTTACGTACTGAACTAAAGCGTTTATTGGCTGCTTCTTGGGTGAATTTCAAAGGCTTTTGTTTTTGCCCGGGGCTCACACAATCCCACTATATATTCCCAAACTACCCCTTTGTCGTTAACGCTCCAGTGAATAACGCATTTTGTCCAATTGTCTAACACATGTTGACGGTTTGGAAGTCTTTGTTTGAAGAAGTTATTTTGCTGCTGCTGTTCAAACAGTCTTTCTTTTGTGAGACCAGTTTGTGAGACCAGTTTTGTCTGCAGTGCAGGTCCTGATGTGGGCACCATTACACAGATGACATGCTTTAACATTTGTGGTGTTTTTGACTGCATGTTGCATGATTGAGATGTCGAAATCCAAATTAGAAAGTCTTCTAAAAGGACAAGATTTGTACCATTGTATAATCATAAAACAAAACCATTAATCAGTAAGTTGAACAGATTATTGTATATTTGGATATTGAAGTGGAGCAGAAATGTAACAAATGGACTTCTGTTCCAACACGTCCCTTTCCACTATCGACTGGCCAGCGGCACGGTGGATAGTGGATAGCACTCTCGCTTCTCAGCAAGAAGGTCCTGGGTTCGAATCCTGGTCAGAACAGGGCCTTTCTGAGTGGAGTTTGCATATTCTCCCCGTTTCTGCTCCGGTTTCCTCCAGGTGCTCCGGTTTCCGGTTTCCACTAAAAACATGTACAATAGGTCTGGCATGCGCCTCCTGTACTGGCGACCCCGCTTCGATGTCTGTGTGGCATATGTGAAAGGCAGTAAATAAATAAAGATTACTTACTTACTTACTTTAGAACCCCTACTACAGCAGTAGAACTGACCACTGAGGTTGAAATGGAATCGGGAGTACCTAACTTTCAAACCGTAAAAACTTGTTCCTGGCCCTGAGCTTGGTCCTCCATTTTTCACATGCATGTATTTAGGACCTCTGTCACATGTTAAGATAAACTATTTCATACAGAAAATGACCGGACCACCCTCAGCCAATCTTGCCTGGCCTGCCAGACACTCCTCCTTTCTGTTCAAAAGAAGAACCGTCTGGACACCTCTTCCTAGCCTATCATTTCACGATTTTACCCACATCGGTCCAATCACGCACCGAGAGGCGGGACTTCCTTTCACCTTTGAGTTGCTAATAACTCCTCGTATCTTTAAGTTTTTGTTACAAAATCGACAGCAGTCGTTTACATTTGCACTAGCTGACATGCCGCCATCCCTTGTTTTGTGTTTACTGAAACGGCTTGGGTGCCGCTAGTTGCTGCGTCATATCCTGTGTGCATCTAATTGGTTGATGCAGTCTGTCAACCACGCCCACCGGGAATTCGCTGAGATCAAGCTCGTTCCCAGACTATATGTCTGAAAAAGCATATCGTTTGGCAGGCCAGGCAACAGCCAATCAGTTCTCAGCTCAAATAGTCAAATAGTGACTCGCAGGGCTCTTTCTTACAGGTCTGAAAAATGTGAAATTTTTTACTAAGATTAAAAAACAGCATGGTGAGGTCTGATTTGACCACAACATTGTACTTTGACACGATTCTTTCATGTTATTTATGAAAAAAGTTGAATTCAATTCAACACATCAGTCTCGCAGGACTGTTGATTTGCCAACACAGATCAGAGATTCAAACAAATATACAAATGATTCAAAAATGTTTTATATACTATGCTTTTCGTGATGCATCTCCTCAGTGGGGAGAGGGAACTCACTTCAAAAGCTTTAAAGCTGAGTTAAGACTGCGTGCATGAGCGACCGAGCAGACGCTGAGGAGCAGGAAGGAAGAGCAGCCTCTTTCATGTCATACTCATGTCTCATTTTGTCTTGTCTGTTTTTTGTTACTGTTTCATACATCTTTTACCGCTCTTTTCCTCTCTCTTTACTGTCCCGTCACAGCTGGCTGAACTCATCTGGTTATGTCCTATAAGAACTTTACATTGACCTTGCTTCATTGGCCTGTGATAATAAAGCAAATGTCTTAAAAGGATGTGGTTGTGAGGCATTTTCATCCTATTGAAGTTGACACACATTTACTGTGGCGAAAGTAGAAGTGTGGAAGAATGTCAGCAACAACTTATCGTTTTCAGCACGTGTTGTGTTAGTGTATATTGTATATAAGTTAACCCTTTGTCCTTGGGTCAAATTGACTCACCACAATGATTAAAAAATACACTCAATGGGCCTCATTCACGAATAACTTCGTAAGAAACTACTCAACTTTCTTCTCAAGTTGTCCTTAAGTAGATTTCTAAGAAGTCCCCACGTGGGATTCATCAACGCACTCGTAAGCCGCTGAATTGTTCGCAGCTGTTCTCTCAGATTGATGAATCCCATTTCCTCGTAAGTACAGCGCGCGTGCAAAGGTGCTTCATTAGCATAGGTACTTAGCACAAGTAACCGCCCACTAATGCCCATATAAGGGACTGCAGGGCCGTGTGCAGACGGCAGAGGAAACAGCAACAGGCCTAAAGCAAAGAGCTACACAGAGCAAAAGAGTCACCCTTTTTTCTTCTTATACCAGACTGAGAATAAAGTTATAAAATGTTGACTTAAAAGTCGAAATATGATAATAAAGTCGAACTAGCAAAATTATGAGATTAATCTAAGAATATGATGAGATTAATCTCAAAATGTTATGAGCTTAATTTAAAAATATATTATGTATTATTTTAAAGATGAATCTCAAAATGTTTTGAGATTAATCTCAAAATATTTTGGACCCTGCGAGGAGATCCAGCGCGGACCAGCGCTGAGACCAATGCAGACCCGAGGAGAGACTGGAGTGACCAGCACACAGAAACCAGCGCGGACCGGAGATAGACCGCATAGACCAGACTTGAGAGACCAGCGCGGACCCGGATCCAGGAGCATGCAGCACGGACCCGTATGGAGAGAGACCAGTGCAGACCCGTATATGGGATAGACCAGTGCAGACCCGTATAGATCCATAGGAGAGACCAGCGCAGAGACTCAGCGCGGACCCTGCAGTAACCTCCTGCAGCAGCAGTATATATGCCGTTGTTCTGTGGCCCGTTGATAAAGAAATGCCCCCTATAAATAGGAAGGGGTCACTAATACACGGCAAGATTTCCAATGTATTTGATAAAGCGTTGGCACATTTCATTTCAAAATGAATTAAAAAGTAGGCCAGATCTGCAGTGAAAAAGGCGGTATATAAATAAAGATTACTAATAAAGATTACTACAAATAAATATCGATATGACGGACATATCACTGGAATGTTGTATTTTTATTCAACTTCACCAAAGAGGACAACCCCGGCGTGTGAACATGTCGGCACTGAATGCGTACGAGTGCTCCTGAGGACTCGTAGGATTTGTACTTGCCCAAGAGAAATTCTGGTTACGAGAAATATTCGTGAATGCCACTTTCTTCGTAAAAACCGCGTAAGTAGGATTTACGTACAAATCTGTTCCTAAGAACCGTTCGTGAATGAGGCCCAATATTTTTTTCGAGCTAAATTTTAATGATTTTTCCTAACTTGACCATCCCTGGATCGTTCAGACCCTGATTAAGAGTGTTTTTCTTGAGTCAGTCAAGTGGCCGATGCTGGCTCTGTAACTGCTCTTTTAGAATCAAATGTAACACACATATAAAAATCTAATGTGTAAACCTCATATTTAGTTGACCAAAATGAATCTTATTCCTATTGCCTCCTTACAGCTGGGAAGCATTATCATTTTCCACAACTTTATAACATTTCTTATTTCCCACTAATGGTCTGTAAAGTCCCTCCTTCAGTCCTGTACCCGCACCACACAGTTCAGACGGGGACTCACTCTGGCTCTTCATCACTACTTCACATTCTCGATAAGTCTCTGAAATCTCACTGACCAGACCCGCTGTGGTGATAAGAACATTCCTCGCTGCCAGGAGTTGTATATAGGCGTTATTTCTCATTGAGGGGCCTTTTGTTTGAAGCTACTTGTATCTCCGTATATATCTGTTCATCTCTGGTGTCCTATGACTTCATGGTGTTAGGATGCATGACGACAGCACTGGCCACTTATTATCATCACAGATTACTTTAGTTTTTCCAGCAGATTTGTCCCGGTTGGATAATGGATTTTATGAAGATACAAGG